TTAGATCGAGGGCGCTGTTCATCTTAAAAGCATTTGTATAAATCCATGTTGAATTATGGTGAGTCAAATATCAAGTAAGCTAAAATCAGTTCAAAATGACAAATAATAGATGTATGACAATGAGGGTATAGCACAGATATTTGCAATTGTATTTAGATAAATTGGCTCAATAGATTTTTTTGGAAGATTTTGATTTATGTACTGGCTCAGATCGGTTAAAGACCATATTTTAAATCAGATATGGGAACTCCAAGAGTTTAATAGATAAATTCATAAATAGTACTATATGAATTGAATGTCAAAGTTACAGTTTTGAAGGTTATCCTTTTATCTATAGACGTCAGAAATGTGTACTCGTTATCCCTGAGAGAGTTCAAATTTGACCATTTCGGTATGTGAAAAATAATTTCTGCCTTGTGTTGAACAAGATTGTGTGACTAATTTAAAACAGAAGTTTTGAGCTCAATATAAAAAGGGATATTTTTTTAATTTAGCTATCAACTTTTATTTACTATAACTACATTGAGATAGAAGTCTGAACGTATAATACGTACTATAATAATCTTAGAACTGCCAGATGAATTTGAGAAAAGTGTGCTCAACTGACTGATGATATAAGCAAGGTTTTCTAGCTCTTCCCTCGTGTGCAGGTTCTATGCATTCAGGGAGCACTATAGAGACTGCCAGAGACTGATTCGATTCGTCACATCAATTTGTGACTTGATTATTCACTGTCTCATCATCGCAGTTCTTTGCCTTTTGATAAACTAACAACACTCTACTCGCTTTTGATAGGCACCAGTCCAACCTTATAGAAATAAGCTGTGTTTGATCTGATTTTTCAATCAGCTAAAACATGGATTGGACTTAGTACAGTGAGGATATATTCCATACTAATCAGGGGTAAACTATTTTAGATCATCGGTGATGCTGTGAAGAGAGAGTCTATAAAGAGGGTTTAGACTCTGCTCTCAATATAGAGCTTCCTTCAAAGCTGATAAGTATATTACAGAGTTGTCTTACATAAAACAGAGGGATAATAAAGAGATAAAATATTCTAACAGCATATATATATATTCAAAAACAAAAACACACACATAAATATACACCACATAAACATATATATATATATATATATATATATATATATATGTTTATGTGGTGTATATGTGTGTGTTTTTGAATTTGTTGAAAGGATGGCCCTTATTCTGTTTGTGTTTTTAGGACGACCTAAAAACACACTCATTTTTAGGACGACCTGAATGCTCAACCTGCCCCCCACACCCACAAATAGGGTGACCACCATCAAACAAAACAAATGTGGGACGATACGCCTTATCCACGGCAGCGCCATCTTTGATTTTTAATGAGAATGAAAGCGAGGCTGTGAGGGATAAACTTGCATCTCTTCAATGGGCTGTACTGTTATTTAACGTGTTTTCGGATTTTTCTGCTCATGAAACACTGGAAAAATGTCTTTCCAAGAAATTTCAGTTGACAAAAAACTCCCGACAATGTAAGCTGTGGAAAATTGTAAGTAATCTAGCAGCTTTATTCAGCTTTTTACAGCGGATGCCATTGGAAACACGGTAAGTCTATCCCTCACAGCCTCACTGATGATATAAGCAAGGTTTTCTAGCTCTTCCCTCGTGTGCAGGTACTATATATCCAGGGAGCACTATATATAGACTGCCAGAGACTGATTCGATTCGTTACATCAATTTGTGACTTGATTATTCACTGTCTCATCGCAGTTCTTTGCCTTTTGATAAACTAACAACACTCTACTCGCTTTTGATATGGCACCAGTCCAACCTTATAGAAATAAGCTGTGTTTGATCTGATTCATCAATCAGCTAAAACATGGACTGGACTTAGTATAGTGAGGATATATTCCATACTAATCAGGGGTAAACTATTTTAGATCATCGGTGATGCTGTGAAGAGAGAGTCTATAAAGAGGGTTTAGACTCTGCTCTCAATATAGAGCTTCCTTCAAAGCTGATAAGTATATTACAGAGTTGTCTTACATAAAACAGAGGGATAATAAAGAGATAAAATATTCTAACAGCATATATATATATTCAAAAACAAAAACACACATATATATATACACCACATAATGTTTATGTGGTGTATATATATGTGTGTGTTTTTGAATTTGTTGAAAGGATGGCCCTTATTCTGTTTGTGTTTTTAGGACGACCTAAAAACACACCCATTTTTAGGACGACCTGAATGCTCAACCTGCCCCCCACACCCACAAATAGGGTGACCACCATCAAACAAACCAAATGTGGGACGATACGCCTTATTCACGGCAGCGCCATCTTTGATTTTTAATGAGAATGAAAGCGAGGCTGTGAGGGATAAACTTGCATCTCTTCAATGGGCTGTACTGTTATTTAATGTGTTTTCGGATTTTTCTGCTCATGAAACACTGGAAAAATGTCTTTCCAAGAAATTTCAGTTGACAAAAAACTCCCGACAATGTAAGCTGTGGAAAATTGTAAGTAATCTAGCAGCTTTATTCAGCTTTTTACAGCGGATGCCATTGGAAACACGGTACATCTATCCCTCACAGCCTCACTTTCATACCTGTCATGGCGCTGCTCTGAATAAGGTCTATTAGCCTAGAGGTTTGTATGGGACAATGTGAGACATGTTACCAACACTAAAACATACCCTTAATAAAAACATTTGTATTCTGCCATTCAGCTGATAAAATTCTTTGTTCTTTAGTCCCTTCCAGAAAAAAAAAACATCTTTATTTAAACTCAATGTAACTCAATGAGCAATATTTTTCCTTCTACATATTAAATGATTTGAATGACTTCTGCACCTCTCACTGAGAGAAAAAACATGTTACATTTTAGTATTTTGTGTTTTTGTGAAATTTACAAATTGAGTTTATATTCTCTGATAGCCTGGTCCAACAGACTCTCGTACATTTCATTTGTACAGAGAGTCTGGCCTCTCTCCATCTCACATAGCAAATTTTTTTCTGGCCCAGTTCCGGCCCATACAATCACTTTTCCCTCGGCCCAAGTAGCGCAAAGAATGACAGCCCTGAAGTGGCCCAGAACTGGATTAAAGACAAGGGTCACACATGGGCCATAACTGGCTCGAATCTCAGCCAGTTAATCACCCTTAACTGGCCCTGAATTGGGCCAAAACATGTTTTATTATTGGTACCAATTCTAAGTTAACCATATCAACACCACCCTTTCAAACCCCAAAACTGAGCCATATCCCAGCCTAATCTTACCCAAACCATGTGAACAAATAAGTCACAGAAAAATTCTATATTTTATTCAATTTAAATTTTATTTAACAATAATACCAAAAATAAATATTACATCTAGAATTGTGTAACAGTGTGAAGGCTATTTTATTTTGTACATTCCAAGTGTAACATCTTATTACAACCTGTAAAAGCCCTTCTTCTCACATTGCTCCTCTCATTGTAACTCCAATTACCAGCCATACCAACAGTATGTCAAGTTTTCTTGCCCAACCAAAAAAAAAAAACTAACATTGAATATGCCTCAACTATTCCAGATTTACCAATATAGGGTACTAATGTAGCTCTAAAACTTGTATTAATCATTTTGTCAGATCATGGAAAGTGAGTGCCTTTAAGCCAGAGTTTCCCATCTTTTTTAATTTCTTTGTTTTTATCAATCAATTTATATCCTGAAGTAGAACCTGTAATTGAAGATGTGAAATTCTCCAACAAATGTCCTAAATTGCCTTCCCTTGAGGATTTATATATAACACAAAGGACTGATAAATATGAAATGTTTATGGACAATCTTTTAGTTGCCCAGCTCCAGAAGAAACACGCCAAAGTCCTGCACAAAGCTAAGAAGAGGGAAAAAAGGAAGAAGTCGTCGATCGTTGACCTTGCAACACGACCTGATCTACCAGAGCAGGAAAATGATAACAACCGTTCAGAAAATGGAACAACTGAATAAACGACTGATGCATGTTGTAAAGAAGTTTGTGTTAATGAGTCAACTTAAGTGTCCCAGATGTGAAATGTTAGATGTGCAGGAGAAGGTCGCATCTCTGTAGAGATGCCACTTTGCCCTGCCGTCTAGAGTGTTATTTTTAGTTTGCATTTTACTTTCCTTTGCCGCTGTTATTGCATAAGCTACGCAGGTGTTGCAACTGTGACCTTTTAGCAAAAGCCGCTTTTCGACCAAGTAGTTACAGGAACTTAGTTATAGGAACTGTCAACTTCTAAACAGTTCTAAGAACAACTCTCCCCCAAACTCGGTTTTGCTGCTTGCGTTCGCACTGGCCAAGTAGCTATAGGAACTGTAGGACGCAAGCAAGGCGACGGTCTTACAAACCAGCATGGAGGAGGCTATTGCAATGTTCCTGGTTCCTGTTCTGCCTTGCCGGGACCTTAATAACGGAGAACGAAAGGCGGCGTTTAAAGATTATGCTTGAGTTCTGTACAGAGAAACACAGAAGACGAAGGTTCCAGTGTAATATGATATTAAGTAATATGATGGAAGAAGATAAAATAGCAGAGCGCAGGAGGCAAACAAAACGATGGGTAAGTTTAGCTATTATTAGCAATCAGCTGGTTGAATGCGTTATGTTTGTCTTAATCCTCGTTGTAATGTTTTGCAAAAACACACAGCGTACGGCAGACAGCGCGCTACAAGTTCCGTGTTGACAGTGGGCATGACTTATAAGTTGTTGAACCAATCAACGTAGACCTAGGAAAAGGGAACTAAAAAAGTCCTCGCTCTAGACTAGGTACTGAAAGAGTGTGTGGTTTTCAGACCTGCAGGTAAGAAAAACCAGTAGAATAGCATCTAGCTCGTGTGTGTAGAGCCTTAGAAGATTCACGGTTTCTTTTGCTCAACAACTAGTGCAAATGTTTCCCGCTTTTGTATACCTTATAAGGAATTATTGCTGAATTAGGACTGCCCCCCCAATGCTTAAAGACGGCCCCAATTTAGTCATATAAAAGATTATGTTTCCTGTTCTTCGGGGCCGCAACTTTTCGAGGTGAAGACTATGTACGCTTTTCTTTTAATTTTTCTGTTTTTTGAATTTATTGTCTTTGTAACATTCTGAAGTTTTTTAAGTAAAACGAAACCATATGTTTGGTGATTCGAAAACCTTTTGAACTCTGACTCAGAGTGATTTTTTCCAAACAAATATCTTTATATGAATTGAGATATTTTATACTAAGCAAAGAGCCTTATGACACGAGCCCAGGACTGAGCTGGGACGGACACCGCCGAGGGTCTTATTCCACCTCTCAACGTCGGGTAAGATTGAACACGATGAGATGTGATTTTTAGTACATGTAAATGATATATAGGGGGAAGGTTGATAAGGATTACAGCGGTATAGAAACACAACAATCCGCATCTAAATATTTTATATTTAATTATTTTAACCATAATGATTACATTCCCTTTAATTTCATAGGATAGCCCCTTGTATGGTTGTTCTCCTGGTACAGTTTTTTTTGTGATCATGTGATCAACTCTTTATTTAAAAGTAAAATAACATTCACTCAAACAAACAGACAGGGAAGGGGAGCAACAGACATATCATCAATAATTAAACAATATGAAAGAAGGGGAATAAAAGAAAACTTTATATAGTAATTCCTTTATATAGCCCAAATGTGCATCAATGGTAGGTTTAGCTCCTGGTTCAGTTTTGCAATTAGTGGCCAATTGTTTATTGCATGTAGATGTGACCTCTAAACATTACCCAGGTTGAGAACTAGTGTTTTAGACAACAACAAAAAAATCTGATCAATTTCATTCTTTCAATGAAGATATTTTAATAGTACAGTATAATTATTTTCTCTCAATCGCCTAGGAATATGGCACACATGGGAATGAAATGACTAGCAATCCGAGCAATAAAGTTATGACTAGCTAAAGGACAAGCAGGCCTCTGATCACAAATAAAAAACGTGGAGCATGTCCTTTTCATGTGAAACAATGATTAATCTAGATTTGATTCAATATGACTGATGCAAGATGCTAATATATATATATATATATATATATATATATATATATATATATATATATATATATATAAAGGCTTTCTTATTGTTTTAATAATGTTTAGCTAAAACAAAAGTAGTCTAATCTTTAAGTAAACGATTAGATTTAGATACAACCACTGAATCACTTTCAGCTTTATAAGTCAATTGCTGTTGCTGAATTTGCTGTTTTCTTCCAATCATTTTAACAGCATTAACGTTACATTGTTCCGCACACATGACATGAAGCACTGCGCCTCGGACATTCCGCAGGCCAGGTCTATCGCACCCCGTTGATTGAATCAGCTATCATATATGCAAAAGTTCACTTCAATAAAGAAAAAAGTGGCATCCGAGTTTGAAATCGGGTATTTAAAAAGCGCCAAAAAAGAGAGTGAACTTCACTTAGCCTACCTGTACACCGGTTGTCTGAGATGTCTCCTTCAGCATGCGTTCATGTGCTATGGTAATTATGGTAAATACCAAAAGCCTACGTGGAAAATGCACATGAACACTCCCTCACGTGGTATTATTTTCCACTGGGCAACTCGTAGAATATGTTGATGGACGAGTTGCCGACAGGTTGCCGAGATGAGATAACCTTTGATCTTTTCAAAATGGCGGAGAGTCGCGAGAGTCGTGAATGGCACCACTGTTGCTGCCGCTAACAGCTTCCTAAACCCTGTTTTGTATGTCTTTATGGGCAATGACTTCAGGAATAAGTTCAGGAGCTCCATCTTATCAAAGATCGTGAATGCTTATGATAAACAACATTACAATGCTCATGATAACTAATGAGTAAATCCACTACACCAGCTAATTACTCCTCGACAGCGATGCCATAGAAATATACAGAGTGAGTGACAGTGAACGCAAAAACGGAAGTTCAAAGACAATATTCTAAAGATGACGGCGCCCACGTTTCTCTGGTGCATACACTTATTTAAAAAAATATATATAGATATTACATTTTAACATGATTTTGTGGTGCTTAAAAAAGTATGGAAAACATAGACTTGTATGTGGATTAGTTTTTTTTATTACAAATTTATAAAAACAAATTCAAATAAACAATAATAGGCCTACTTAAAAAAAACTAAATTATCATGTTAGTAAATATATATTTTTTTAATTATTACTGAATTTTGTGAACATTGCTGAAAACCAAATACTATATTTATTCATTATTAATCATTTTTTAATTGATTAATATTAATATTTATAAGTCAATTAATATTATTATTAAGTATTAAAATCTTTAGCCTACATCTATTTCAGAACGGGGTAGCAGCCGCATGGCCCATATCGCTACATTGATCTGGGCCACACGCCTCCCATCCACAAACGGCCCAAAAGTTGTCTGCCGTCGTGCACACATATAGGAGTTTTCATATTTTTCACGATTATGATATTTTAGAGTGATTTTGTTTCAGAAAATACACTCTAAAAATTGCTGGGTTGTTTTAACCCAACTTTGGGTCAAATATGTACTAACCCAGCCATTGGGTTACATTTTTATTATAATATTTTTAACCCAACGTTTGGGTTTGTCCATATTTAAAAAACAAAATCACTCTAAAATATCATAATCGTGAAAAATATAAAAACACTTAGCTCATGGCCAGAGTCTGCCATTTTGGATTTTGATACAAAATAAATGTTTGGAATGTTAGCATAAAGTCACATGACCTGATTACATGACCCATCACCCCATCAGTGTTTTTCATCAACTGCAACCACATAATGCCCCTCCCCCCATAGCCCCTCCCCCTACAGCCTGTTAAATAACTGTATCCCCCAAGATACAGAAACTCTATTCAACAATATTATTGATCTGTGTTGTATTATTTTCATGTTATCACTGTAAAGCTGCTTTGATACAATATGTATTGTATAAAGCGCTATATACATAAAGGTGACTTGACTTGACTATATACGAAGTGACCGTTCTTGAAAAGGAACTTCTATTATAACAACGGAGGTATGTGGATATATTTAAATTAAATGACTAAAATGACTTTAAATTTATGTCTGTGCATGCTGTGACCAGGCTGATCTCATCACTGAATTACGTCAGATCTGGCCAAAGCTTTGAGGGTGTTTTTATGAATCTTTTTCTCCAAAACAAGAAGAACAAAATCAAGAAGTGAAAGTATGGGATCTTGTTGATGAGGAAAACAAAAACAGTTTAGGAAGTGTTTTGTGGAAGTGCAGTCATGCAAAATATTGCTCAAGAGAAGGATAGAACAGCAGTACTTTATAAATGCAAAAGTGACACAGTTGTCAGATGTCTATGTGAGGTAATGCTGGAGACACCGTTTCTTGGGTGAGGTGAGAAAATGCTGGTTATATAAACATTTACTCCAAACCACACTGAAGTGGTTACCTTTAAACGTTTCTGTCCACTGAGGTACTTATACTTATTTTAATATTTATATATTGAATCTATTTTTATTTACATGGTTGTTTTTTTCACTAAATGTTCACTAAATGAATTTTCATTAATTTACATTGAACTTTTAGGTTGAATTGACATCGCCGATCAATATTAATATGGCAGCAGTGACTGTGATATAACTGATATTAATGCTTGAAGAGCAATTTAACTAACAAAATATCTTTTTGTTGTCTGCTTTCAGGGTATCAACGAAAATTACAATGGATTCAACAGATTTTCAATTGAACTATGATTCAACTATTGATTATTATAATTACTACAGTAATATATCTTACGATGGACTTACTTCCCACACGACAGTCAACACCAAATGTTTCACTCAAGTTCTTTGTCTGGTGTTGCTGGTGATCAATGTGATCATCTGTTTGCTGGGGCTTGGGGGAAATGCAGTGGTTATCTGGATTGCAGGGTTTGGCATGAAGAAGTCAGTCAATACTACCTGGTACTTGAGCCTGGCTCTATCCGACTTCATATTCTGTGCCTGTTTGCCTTTCAACATTGCCTACAATGTCACGGCGGACTGGATCTTTGGCCTCTTCATGTGCAAGTTCACGTCCTTTGTCATGTTCCTCAACATGTTCAGCAGCATCTTCCTCCTCGTCATCATCAGCATGGATCGCTGCATTGCCGTCATGTTTCCTGTTTGGGCACAGAATCATCGCACTGTCGGAAAAGCATCTGTGTTAATCGTACTCGCATGGATCATCTCTGCAGCTTTAAGTATCCCATCTATTGTATTCCGTGATGTCCAGAATCACCTAGGCACAAATCGATGCATGAACAACTACACGTCCAGCCAGTATAGCCACAAAATCATCGCAACAAGCCGCTTTGTTTTTGGATTTGTATTGCCTTTCATCCTCATTATCTTTTGTTATACTGTCATCATCCTCAGACTGAGATCCACCCAGATGGCAAAGTCCAACAAACCGTTTAAGATTATGACGGCTCTCATCATGACCTTCTTCCTGTGCTGGCTGCCGTACCACACATTTGTGCTAATCGAACAAAACGAGACCTTCAACAGTGAGGTCATTGCTCTCGGACTGACCATTGGCACCTCTGTTGCTGCCGCCAACAGCTTCCTAAACCCAGTTTTGTACGTCTTCATGGGCAATGACTTCAGGAAGAAGTTCAGGAGCTCCATCTTATCAAAGATCGAGAACGCTATTGGAGAAGAAGGCCGAACGATCAGTCGCTACCTGTCTCGTTCTAGCTCAGTGGATGCCAGGGCATCTACTCATATCTAAAGAATAAACTACAGAAGATCGTTATTTTGCATTAGGGCTGCCGATTTAATGCAGGGATGTCAAACGAGGGCTACTGTCCAGCAGAGTTCAGTTCGAACCATAATTAAACATACTTGAACCAACTAATCAAGGTCTTTAGGATTACTTGAAACTTTAAGTCAGGTGATTTGGAGCTTGATACATTTGATTTAATGCATTTATTTAGTATTATTAATTGTAAAAACATTTGCACACACAAGGACTTTGTTTTGGTGACAGAAGAAGCTTCCAGTAAACAGACACAATAGGTAAAATAAATACTTGGAATAAGAAATAGCCTAGATATAAGAGTTATTGCACTGGAGTGTTGTCATTAATGTTAAAGTTAAACATTTAACATTTTGGTGTTTTGGTGCTCGGTGCTCTGTAGCGCTGATTAGAAGGCAAAGGTTCAAAGAGATTGTGGCTTGGATGTGAGGGATCCAGGTGATTTTCTGACCTTTTCCCTCATGTATATAGTTCTTGAAGGGTGGGCAGAGGAGCACCAATATTCCTCTCAGCTGTCCGATCCCTCTGAAGTCTTCTTATGTGGGATTTTGTAGCTGAGATAAACCAGACAGTTAATGAAGTGCAGAGGACAGACACAATGACGGCTGAGTAGAACTGCATCAGCAGCTTCTGTGAGCAAGTTGAACTTCCTGAGCTGGCAAAAAAAGTATAACCTTTACTGGGCTTGTTTTTCCACTATGGAGTCAATGTGATTGTCACACTTTAGGTCCTGAGAGATGATTTAACCCTAAAAACAAAACATAATGAAATGCATAATTTTGAATACAGCTAAAACATCTGTGAAAAATGAACAAATGAAGCGAAAATGAAATTAAATGCGGAATGATTTCGAGATGCGTTTTTACCAACTGCTTTTAACTTGACACATAATATTAAAATGTGCTGCAACAACAAAAAATATCTGACCAAAGTCACATGTAGACGAAATGTAATGTAATAACCCTTCTTGTGTGACAGACTAACATGATTTTAGGTCAGTCATGTGCCTATTGTAAATTACATGGAAATACCGGTAAATATACTGACTTCTGACGCCAAATTATATATATATATATATATATATATATATATATATATATATATATATATATATATATGATTTACATGTTTGCCACAATAATGTAATGTCTTTGAATTAGCTTTATTTGAGGCTTTGCAGTAAATTTAAGTGATTTACAGTCCTAATTTTGTAATGAGTTAGTAAGTAAGTGAATTAGTAAGTAAATGAAACCATCATCAAGCACAATGCAAATGGATTCCTGATGTAAAGAATATGATTCTTTAACCTTTATAACCAGTTGTATAATGACTTAACTGAACTTTTCTGTGACTAATAAACACTTTTGTTGGACTGCAATTATTGTGCATGTGAGCTTCACAAGCTACCCAACTTCAGCATCCTCCCACAATGTAAAAGCCGCAGTTTGTCTCGTGGTGGCCTGCTCACTGAAATGGTGCTACATTCGCGGGTTTTAACCTCAAACCAGCCAATCTTGAACAGATGATCACAGCTGCTTTGAATAGGGTACTGGTGTGGCCGTCAACAGTCTCAGTTCTCAGAAACTGTTTTTTGCATCTTACAGAGGAACTAGGTGTTAAGATATTTGGCCAATAGCTCAGTCTGCACTTATCAGATTAGAAAACAACCCAGTAGTAGAGGTACATATCTGAAGCATTGTAAACGGCATTGTGCAGGCTTTCTTTGTGAGGTAAGATATTTTTTTTTTTGTCATATAAGCAAATGCATCAAAGATAAATAAGATTCACTTCACTATCTGTATTTCATCATGCAATGAACACTTGTTTTATGTACCATTTCTGAAGACAGAGAGCCGTAAAGGAAGTAAGATGCATGTGACTAATTCTATGCGGCAACAGAATCAACTAAGATACTTTAAAAATTCAGGATTGAAAACATCTTTACAGTTTGTAGATATCAGATATGATTAAAAAAAAAGAAAACATTACATTACCTTCTCACCGACCAAAGATGCTTGTCAGTCATAAGTTTGTCTGTGAAGTGAGCCAGTTGCATTTAAAATTCAAATGAGAATAACACGCCTCTTGTGTAAATTGTGTTTCTGTGTGGTTTAAAAACTCAACTAGCTTTTTAAGTAAAAAAATTGCAATTTCCTTCATACAAATAACCATTCGGAGGTAATTTAAAGTCACAAGGATAAACAGAAAGTGAACAAAAGTTTACATGAAAAAAATAAAAAAATAAGGGAAGTGAAGGGAGAATTCTGGAGGTGCTGTGCTTATAATTGGCCTGCCAGTTTTGCCTGTCAGAAAAGGACTGGTAAAAAAAATAACTCTGTAATATCCCCCAAGTAACCTGATGGAAATTATGGGAAAGGCGGTTAATTGCAAATCAAGTGTCATGGTGTTTTTGCTCAACAACTGCATTCATTTTTAGAAATATGCAAAATGGCTTTACTTCATATATTTGGATAAATTGCCTAGTGTTTTCATTACGGAACTCTACTTTCTTTTCAGTTCTAACAAGGCATAATGACTTCAAATTATTCAGAAGATTACTACAGTGATATTATAGAAGAGTTGACAAACGTCAACAAAGAAAATGCAGCTTCTGTGCATTTACCTGCAGGATACTGCAGGGAAGCAGGATGTGTATTCACAGTTATTTTTAATGTGATCATATTCCTGCTTGGCATCATTGGAAATGGTGCTGTGATCTGGATTACTGGTTTTAAGATGAAGAAGTCTGTGAACACCACCTGGTACCTGAGCCTGGCTTTGTCTGACTTCATTTTCTGCGCTACTCTCCCCGTCCTCATTAGCTACATAGTTACTGCCAACTGGACTTTTGGGCTCTTCATGTGCAAGTTCAACTCTTTTGTCATGACCCTCAACATGTACAGCAGCATTTTCATCCTGGTCATCATTAGTGTGGATCGCTGCATCACTGTCAAGTTTCCAGTCTGGGCCCAAAATCAACGCACTGCAAAGAAAGCTTCTTTAGTCGTTGTGATGGCTTGGTTCGTGTCTGCTTTGCTTAGCATTCCATCTGCCAAATTCAGGAATACTGTAAATCATTCATCAACAATCATATGTTATAGCAATTATGAGCATCACCACGGAACTGTTGTGTACATGCGCTTTACTTTTGGCTTTTTAATTCCGTTCCTGACCATTTCCACCGGTTACTCCATCCTGATCTGTAAACTTAAAGCAAACCAAATGTCCAAATCCACCAAGCCCTACAAGATCATGACATTACTGATTACAACTTTTTTTTTCTGTTGGTTGCCATTTCACATTATATCTATTATAGAGTTGAACAAATCTAAAGATACTCCACACGATCCCATCTTTCACACGGCCCAACAATTAGCTGCAACTCTTGCCACTGCGAACAGCTTTATAAACCCATTCCTCTATGCATTCATGGCCAAGGATTTGAAGAAGAAATGCTATTCCTTCCTGTCGAAGATTGAGAGCGCCATTGATGATGAGACCCGAAGCGCTTTCCAAAGAACGTCCATTACCAATTCTGTGGATAACAGACTTTCCACTGCTGTCTGAAATTTTAAATAACAATTCTTGGACAAAAGATATTTCTCTTTATTCTCTTCCAAGTCTGACTGGCCTATGGAAAAGACTGAACATTTACAAGTTTTACAATCGTTTATCTGTTGCATTTTGGAGTTCAGAAATGTATAACTAACACAGCTGAAAGGTCAAGAACAATTTAATGCAAAAAGGTTCGACCAAAGTTTTGTATATTACAATGTCATTTTGCTTAACGTGTTTGAAGAATTCTTTGATTACTATTAAATCTTCACTGTTTTCATCTTATCTTTTGTGCAAGTGTCATGTATGCAGGTAGCACTCACAAGATTACATTACATTGAGGACAACCACAGAAAACTGAACATTACCAGGATTATAAATACACAGGACGTAAAAAGAGAGCTGCATTAGACATTGGTGGCGATAATCAGTAACTAAGGGTAGCTGCGTTTACAACAATGATGTAGCTACTTAAAATGGAAATGTTTTTCCTTAGTTTGCATATTTCATGTATCCGAAACGAAAACAAATGATCCCAGTTTCTTACGGATCTGAGAAAATGACTAAAAACTCTTCTGCTGCCAGGTCAGTTTCGATGTCACTTTGTAAAGAAACACTTTGTGCCTATTGACTGAACATGTAATAAGCATGAGCATGATGTCACCGTCTTCACAAATTCACGTTTTTGTTGTTTACATAGAGAATAACTGTATCGTTCCACTGTAAAAAATGTTACGCTATTTAACCCTCATGTGGTGTTCGGGTCAATTTGACCCGGAGAAGATTTTCTTTTTCCTGAAAATACTAGTTAATGTTATCGCTTTGGACTGAAACTTAGTGACTTTGTTCCCAAGCGGTATAACTATATCTCATTTGTTTTTTGAACATTTTCGTATTTTTTTGTGGGAGTTCTGTTACCTTGTTACACTTGTGGTGTTCCCGGTCAAAAATGACCGGTCTATAAAAAATAGCTTATAAATCACTCATTATACCATATTTTCACCCAATCTTGGATTCAATCTTTTTGTCAACTTGTTCTCTTTCAATTAGGACTGGTTTTACATTTCTGTTTGCATCTAATCGTGGGCCTCGTTTGTCTGAGAGTAGGCATCTCATTTTTTGAGTAAAAAATAAATAATTTATGAATAAATTTGGAAATATGTTGTTGTTGTTTTTTGAAAAAATAGCTACTGTTCATCACACTAGTCTACTCTAATGTTTTACCAGGAATTTTGTTTTGAAACTTTTGTTTTGTAAAAAATATGAAACATAGTCACACTTGCTAAAAAATCGTCAAAAACGGGCTTCAATCCTCTCAATGGAGTTCCAATGAGATCGCTCTGTCCATTTCTTTTACTGTCTGTCTATGGTTCCGCCTGGCTCTGATGTCATGCCGATGTATATAAAGCACCTGTCATGCCGCACCTGTCGGTTTCTGCAGTCGCAAGCACGATGAGAAACGACTTGCTGACGACAGTTTAATGTTCATTGGTTTAAACAACCGTGATGTATTGGTCTCGTTTAAAATGTTTGATTTTAAAACTGATATCATGTTTTATATGTATACATAGGCTATGGGTGCATAAACTCTCAGACAGTGCCATATGGGTTATTATGTGATGTCATTTTTATTAAAACAATATATAAAAACACGTCTGTATTAAAGAAAAAATTATTGATAAACACACATTTGGAATGTAATTAAATAACAAGTACTTTGGGTGTCTTGTTCATTATATTTATTTTCATATAAAAGCAACAGAACTTAAATCACATCCAGTTTATTGGCAACAGGTGCACGAGCGTGAATCCCGTGAATCTCGCGATATCAGACTTTGATCTCACAGGTGTCTATGGCAAGCCGTTTTAGCTTAAATTGTACCCTGCCTTACTCGTCATTATTGCATTTTTACCAGTAACAATTCAATTAGTGAGCTTTATAATTTAATTCCTAGTAGCAATTACAATTAAATTCTTACTAATAACAATTACGATTAGAGAGCTCTCTAATTCGATGGTAAGAATGCAATTACAGAGCTCTTTAATTGAATTGCCAACGCATTCTCATCCTTTAACGTCATATAGCACGCTATATGCAAAAACTGCGCTATACTACGCACATGGCACCCGTTATCATTAATATAACACAGGCTGTGAGGGCTAAGTTTAGGTGTGGGGTAGGGTCTGCGTGTCACATTCACGCTAAAGGATTTATGACTTCTTGGGTTCATGTTTTATATTAACGATAAAGGGTGCCATGTGCGTAGTATAGCGCCGTTTTTGCCTATAGCGTTCTATATGACGTTAAAGGATGAGAACGGGCTGGAATTGCAGAGCTCTGCAATTCCATTCTTACTAGTAAGAATTACAGAGAGCTCTCTAAATCAGTTTTCACTAGTAAGAATTACATTAAGAGAGCTCTTTAATGCAATTATTACTAGTAAAAACTGATTTAGAGAGCTCTGCAATTCAATTAGAGAGCTCTACATTTCAATTCGTAGCAGTTACAATTAGAGAGCTCTCTAACTCAATTCATATTAGTGAAAATACAATTTCAGAGCTCTCTAATTCAATTATTACTAGTAACAAATACAATTGCAGAGCTCTCCAATTCAGTTCTTACTGGTAACAATTACAATTAGAGAGCTCAATAAATTAATTTTTACAAGTCATATGTCTCCATTGACTTCCATTCATTTTTAATTACAGAGCTCTCTAATTGAATTGCTACTGGTAATAATTACAATTAGAGAGCTCAATTGAAATAAAGAGCTCTGCAATTGCATTCTTAGTAGCAATTCATTTAGAGAGCTCTCTAATGCAATTGTTACTAGTAAGAATTCATATTATTGAGCTCTCTAATTTAATTCTTACTAGTAACAACTCAATAGTAGCCTAGAGCTCTTTAATTCAATTAGAGAGCTCTCGAATTGAATTGTTACTAGTAAGAATGCAATTACAGAGCTCTCGAATTCAATTCTTACTAACAATTCCAATTAGAGAGCTCTCTAATTCAATTCTTACTAGTATGTAATTAGAGAGCTCTCTAATTCAGTTTTTACTAAGAATGCAATTACAGAGCTCTTTAATTCAGTTACAGAGCTCTGCAATTATACATATCTTTAATTCGTTTTTTACAAGTAAAAATTTAATAAGAGCTCTGCAATTGCATTCTTACTAGTAAAAACTGAATTAGACAGCTCTCTAATTATAATTGTTACTAGTAAGAATTGAATTAGAGAGCTCTAATTGTAATTCTTACTAGTAATAATTGAATTAGAGAGCTCTCTAATTGTTATTCTTACTAGTAACAATTCAGTTGTAGAGCTCTCTAATTAATTCTTACTAGTAACAATTCAATTGTAGAGCTCTCTAATTAAAAATGAATGGAAGTCAATGGATACATATGACTAGTAAAAATCCATTTGTAGAGCTCTCTAATTGCAATTGTTAGTAAGAATTGAATTAGAGAGCTCTGTAATTGTAATTCTTACTAATAATTGAATTAGAGAGCTCTCTGATTGTAATTCTTACTAGTAATAATTAAATTAGAGAGCTCTCTAATTGAATTGTTACTACGAGTAAGACTGGGAACAATTTAAGCTAAAACGGCTTGCCATGTCTGAATCTGATCCAAGCGTCTATTTTCGAATACTATTTAGGACGGATATGCGAATTGGGACGCAGATTTGTCTGGCTTGCCTGCGCTTTTTTCATTCCTCCTCTCACTGCAGCCGCCTACTCTCGACTTTCAGGCGAGGCAAGGCGCATCTCAAACAAGCCTATTGTGGACGAAGGTAAATTCTAATACGCAGATAAAACGCTGGTGTGGACGGAGATCGTATTCGTTTTAATTCTCCGTTTTTAAACGAAAACGCAGTAGTGTGGACGAGGCCTGAAGCATTGTAAACGGCATTGTGAGGCTTTCTTTGTGAGGTAAGTTATTTGTTTTGTTATATAAGCCAGTGCATCAAAGACAAATAAGATAGCCTACACTTCACTATCTGTATTTGATCATGCGATGAACACTTGTTTTCTGTACCATTTCTGAAGACAGAGAGCCGTAAAAGAAGTAAGATGCATGTGACTAATTCTAAGCTGCAAGAATCAACTAAGATACTTTAAAGATTCAGGATTGCAAACATCTTTACAGGTTGTATCAGATATGATACAAAAAAAGAAACATTACACCCTTCTCACTTAAAGGAACACTCCGACTTGTTGGGACTTTAGCCTATTCACCTTATCCCCCAGAGTTAGATAAGTCCATGCATAACTTTTTCCATCTCCGTGCGTGCTCTGTCTGACGCACCCACCGCTAGCCTAGCTTAGCACAAAGACTGGATGTAAATGGTTAGCCTGACTTCGTCATACTGGGCGGAGTTCGGGCTGGCATCCAGGCTAGTAAATGGTTGCAGCTGGCATAGGCCTACTAATCCAAATGAGTGACAAAATAATGCAAACATTTTCCTATTTACGTGTTGTGGTTTGTATAATCACAGACTGTACAAATAACAAGACCATATGAGACACAGACATCTTTTAACCGTATAAATACTGGGAACTATATATTTCTGAAGGAAGCAGCTACTTGGGCTGAGTGATAACCGCATCACCTGAGACGCACCGTGACGAGGAGCAGAGAGTTCGTTCAGAGTTGGAGTAATAGCATAATTGTATGAGCTGTGACAATAAACAGGGGAGACCAGGTAATACCATGATGTTTCATTGAATTCCAACCAAAAACGCATCCTGATTTATAAATATCACAGGACATGAATAAAGAATTATTATTACAGAAATCAATGTATTTTAAATGCAATTTATTAGCTTAACCAAATGTATTCAACATCAGCATATAGGCTAGTAGGCCTATAATTGCATTAGGCTACAATAGGCTAGAATAAGGGGAAAGTAATAGCACAAGGCAAATGGTTTTTGCACAATGAACCCACAGCCTAACGTACCCGTACTAGACAAGGTCAGTGTTTCTCAAAAAAAAATAAAAAAATAAAAACTCAGATTCATTAGCAAGGTGAAGGCTACAGTCCTCTCATTTGTTACTGGGGCGATAGAGCGCATTCGTGATAAAACAATACTAACATTAGGGCCTGCTCACATATCGCGTTTTTTGCGCGCTCAAGTTCGTTATTTCAAATGTAGGAAGCGCAGGGTGAAACGTGCTTATTTTTTCCAAGCGCGTCCGGCCGCATCAAGATAAAAACATATTCATACCCTATATATATAATGGTGTCACTAACGTTACATTAGATCTGGCTAATGACACTGTTAGGTCATCTAAAAACATAACGGAACACTTACCTCAGCCGCAGGTTATCCACTTTGTCCAGTCTGTGCTATAGATGGGATGGCTGGCCATCGGTATCATTCAGCACACGTTTGGTCCGTGTTGCAAATTCCATTTTTTCAAAATAGTCGTCCTCATTGAAATGTACCGAGCAAACATAATGTCCGATAATCTCTTTAGGTGTGTTTGGAGCAATATTCCGAGGCCAGTAGCCATCTGGTCAGAGTTTTTAGTTGGAATTCTGTGAAACATCATGGTATTACAATACAGCGAAAACCCATGACCGTAAACTACGCTTTTACTATTTATAAATTGCTGACTTTGTTATCCAAACTCTGAACGAACTCTCTGCTCCTCGTCACGGTGCGTCTCAAGTGATGCGGTCACTCCGTCAAAGTGCTTCGCCTTCAGAGAATAGTTCCCAGTAATTATACGTTAAGATGTCTGTGTGTCATTTGACTTTGTTTTTTGTACACTCTGTGACTATACAAATCACAACATGTAAATAGAAAAACGTTTGCGTTATTTTGTCACTCATTCGGATTAGTATGCCAGCAACCATTTACATCCAGTCTGTGTGCTAAGCTAGGCTAGCGGTAGGTGCGGCAAACATAGCACGCACGGAGATGAAAAAGGTATGTATGGACTTATCTAACTCTGGGTGAATAGGCTAAAGTCCCCAAAAGTCGGAGTGTTCCTTTAAAGTCACAAGGATAAACAGAAAGTGAAAAAAAGTTTACATGAAAAAATAAAAAATAAGTGAAGGGAGAATTCTGGAGGTGCTGTGCTTTTTATTGGCCTGCCAGTTTTGCCTGTCAGAAAAGGACTGGTAAAACAAAATAACCCAGTCTCTGTAATATCCCCCAAGTAACCTGATGGAAATTATGGGAAAGGCAGTTAATTGCAAATCAAGTGTCATGGTGTTTTTGCTCAACAACTGCATTTATTTTTAGAAATATGCAAAATGGCTTTACTTCATATATTTGGATAAATTGCCTAGTGTTTTCATTACGGAACTCTACTTTCTTTTCAGTTCTAACAAGGCATAATGACTTCAAATTATTCAGAAGATGACTACAGTGATTTGTTAGAAGAGTTGACAAACGTCAACGTCTCAGAAGAAAATGCAGTTTCTGTGCATTTACATGCAGGATACTGCAGGGAAGCAGGATGTGTATTCACAGTTATTTTTAATGTGATCATATTCCTGCTTGGCATCATTGGAAATGGTGCTGTGATCTGGATTACTGGTTTTAAGATGAAGAAGTCTGTGAACACCACCTGGTACCTGAGCCTGGCTTTGTCTGACTTCATTTTCTGCGCTACTCTCCCCGTCCTCATTAGCTACATAGTTACTGCCAACTGGACTTTTGGGCTCTTCATGTGCAAGTTCAACTCTTTTGTCATGACCCTCAATATGTACAGCAGCATTTTCATCCTGGTCATCATTAGTGTGGATCGCTGCATCACTGTCAAGTTTCCAGTCTGGGCCCAAAATCAACGCACTGCAAAGAAAGCTTCTTTAGTCGTTGTGATGGCTTGGTTCGTGTCTGCTTTGCTTAGCATTCCATCTGCCAAATTCAGAGATACTGTAAATCATTCATCAACAATCATATGTTATAGCAACTATGAGCATCACCACGGAACTGTTGTGTACATGCGCTTTACTTTTGGCCTTTTAATTCCGTTCCTGACCATTTCCACCTGTTACTCCATCCTGATCTGTAAACTTAAAGCAAACCAAATGTCCAAATTCACCAAGCCCTACAAGATCATGACATTACTGATTACAACTTTTTTTTTCTGTTGGTTACCATTTCACATTATATCTATTATAGAGTTGAACAAATCTAAAGAGACTCCACATGATCCCATCTTTCACACGGCCCAACAATTAGCTGCAATTCTTGCCACTGCAAACAGCTTTATAAACCCATTCCTCTATGCATTCATGGCCAAGGATTTGAAGAAGAAATGCTATTCCTTCCTGTCGAAGATTGAGAGCGCCATTGATGAGGAGACCCAAAGCGCTTTCCAAAGAACGTCCATTACCAATTCTGTGGATAACAGACTTTCCACTGCTGTCTGAAATTTTAAAGGTGCTTTTTTTATTTGCATGATTGTGTTTATGGGGTGCAATATAACATGTATTCGTGTTTTTTCTTTTTTTAAAAGTCTTATTTTTCATAAACTTCACCTTAATTGTCAGCTGCGCTCTCCTCTGTCCTCGAACGAGCGGCTGACTTCCTGATTCTATGAAACCACTCCCTCAGAAACAGGCAGTGGGTTCCGATTGGTTAAATTGGCCCGGGGTGTTGTGATTGGCTAAACTGTCGCTCACGCTGTCCGGAAGGTTAGCGCCCATTACCTTTACGGGCGAAACGTGCATGTCATGAGCTCCGGACCAGATGTAAATATGTGTCGAACTGCAGTTTATCTGTTTGAGGCAGAATCAGACAGAGAAAGCGGCGATGAAGAGAGTCAAACAGAACCTCACGATACACGGCTCTTACTAAACGTTTCTGAATTTGCAACTGACTGGCTACTAATGTTAAACACAGACAGCGTTGACAAGTTTACATTCTTGATCAAATCGAAAATAGCGTCAATAAGCATATATACATGAAAAATACATTTACAACATTAGTACTCATACAAAATTCAGGTCCATAATGTCTGTACGCGTTTGTCATAGACACAAAATAGCATAACTAGCCATGAAACCAGCGCTGGCATGCAAATACATTTAAAATGATGAAGTCATAGCCTACTTACAGGTTGTGGCCCAACAACTGCTGCCTCTGGTTTTAAAGTTGGATCTGCTTCATGTTTTAGTGACAGTTTCTTGTTAAATCCGGTGTTGAACTCGTGGAGATTCTGGAAGCTGTCTTCAGTAAAATGCGCAGCACAGAGAGCTAGATTACGATCGTCATTTTCAGGAACATTATCAAACATAAATTGTATCCATTGTTGACGAAGTACAGCGTCCGTGGGAAGCCTGAATACAGAAGACCTGACAGCAGGATGAACACAACACACTCGACGTGCCGCAGAAATATGCGCATGCCCTTTTTTGCATACAGTATTCCGGAGGGAGGGTTGATGCAAATCTATGGGTTAGTGACGTCTAAAACCCAGCTGTAGTCCCAATAGAGTCGTTTTTGTAGGCATTCAACTTCCTGAATTTTAAAAGACGATATCTCTGTTTAGATGAGAGATATTAGACGATATCTCTTAGTTTAGATAACACTAAACTTTCAGCGCTTCAACCTTGCAGATACTGTTCATGCACCAACAGCAACATTACACACTATTTAAAATGAAAAAAGTGAAATCGCAGTCACCCCCCCCCCTCCCCCTTAATAACAATTCAATAACAATTATAGAAACTGAACTGACTGAACATTAACAAGTTTTACAATTGTTTGTCTGTTGCATTTTGGAGTTGTATGGAGCAGAAATGTATAAGTAACAGCTTTTTTTTCATATAAAAAGTTTTGTATATTAAAATGTCATTTTGCTTAACGTGTTTGCAGAATTTTTTGATTACTATTAAATCTTTACTGTTTTCATCTTATCTTTTGTGCTAGTGTCATGTATGCAGGTAGCACTCACAAGATTACATTACATTGAGGACAACCACAGAGAACTGAACATTACCAGGATTATAAATACACAGGAGGTAAAAAGAGAGCTGCATTAGACATGGGTGGCAATAATCAGTAACTAAGGGTAGCTGCATTTAAACAACAATGATGTAGCTACTTAAAATGGAAATGTTTTTCCTTAGTTTGCATATTTCATGTATCCGAAACGAAAACAAATGATCCCAGTTTCTTACGGATCTGAGAAAATGACTAAAAACTGCCAGGTCAGTTTCGATGTCACTTTGTAAAGAAACACTTTGTGCCTATTGACTGAACATGTAATAAGCATGAGCATGACGTCACCGTCCTCACAAATTCACGTTTTTGTTGTTTACATAGAGAATAACTGTATCGTTCCACTGTAAACAATGTTATGCTATTTAATTAAAAAAAGCATGGTAACAATATTACACAATGTTTTTGAGTAGTTATGGCTACCCTTGATTTCTTTCATGGAATCTAACTGATTAAATCATAGGAAGTTGCAAAACAACCAGCATTTAAAATAAATGCATACACTGAGCTGCAAAGAGATATTTAAAGTTGAAGCATGCAATTTTTGCACCATCAGCAACCAACAGAATTCTAAAAAGTATGTTTTGGGGTTCGTTTTCCAGACGGTTTATACTAAACCTATAAATCAGCAAAATAAATATATAAATGAATGTTGGGCCTCTGAGAATTTGGGGCTTTACAATTTATTGACCAGGACATATGCATCAAGCATTAAACAAGAGAAAAGTCTTTCCTCATCTCCACAGTTCTCTCAACTTACAATTATAATAAAACCTTTAATTTCCTTTGCACTGCTGGTAATCACCCTCTGATTATTTGGTAGAAATACCTTACATTCATTCCATACAAAATACATTCAGAAAGACACTTCAGGTTTGTTCCTCTTTTTAAATGAAAAGCATGTAATGCTCAAATTTAAAAGCCTTTTTCAAAAATAGAGGTGTCTTTGAAAGTAATTCTCCATGTGAGCATTACAAAAATATATATGTGTATTTACATATATCGAATGTTATTTGTTAGGACTTTAGCTGAAAAGCTGAAGTTTACCCATGAGGTGCTTTCTTTGTCTCTTTTTATCACATTGCTTCATACTCACTTTCACCCCTGAATTCTAGATTATTTTATAGATTATAATGTTGATTTTCTGTTTTGAATAACAAGAAAAAAAATCTTCTGTAATTAAAACACTCAAAACAAAGAACAATTCTGAACATTTCTAAAGGGAACAAGTTTACAATTGCATCCAAAATCTGACTTAATTTGGGAATTATTTGGTTTTTGGGTCTTCTCAGGTGTCAAAAAAATGGGTTTCAATGCACGGTACTGTACTGCAACTACTGTATACTCGGAACATAAACTGGTGAAAAAAAGGGGTTTTGCTTAAAGGGATAGATCATCCAAAAATGAAAAAAATGTCTTCATTTACTCTCCTTCATGTTGTTCCAAATGTTTTAAGAATCGATACGCAACTCTTTGGTTGAACAACAGCATCCCTTTTAAGGATAACTATAATTGTGTTGGAGAAAAGGAATAAAGGGTCAGTCAATGTATTATTTTAAACAATTTACAAGAAGACACCATTTCTTTTACTTTGTGAACACAAGAAGAATTGTTTTTTTTGATTGCCCACTGCAAATATATTTTAAAACCTCAGTGAAAATCGAAAGGTAAATCATTTAATTTGAAGAAATGATCTCAACATAAAAGTGCTCTAAACACACAGCAGAAACAGAAGAACTTGGTTGCTTGCATCTAATTCAAAAGTGATTCAATCACTGAAGGCAGGTACCAGACAACATGTTTCTTGAGTTGTCCATGCATTTATCTAATCCACGTGGTATAGCTTGAGGATTTTTGTTGTCCATATATCATTTCTACTGATCTGTTTTAAGAAGCATCATATTCTGAAGGCCCACATATTTTTGGGAACAGGAATCTGAGGTTCCGATGTAAAACATTAAATCGCTGTCCATATATTCCCAATGATACTTGAGTGCTTAATGGATCATAGTCATAGTAGTGGAAAAGGAAAAGCAAATTCAATGAAAAACAGATGTGATGTGTCCATCTAAATGGTTGACCCGGATGTCTTGGTGGCAACAGACATTTTCATCAAAAGCATGAAAAGTCATTGCCCGTGGTGACAAACTGAATTTGTGGTTACGGCACACTTAAATTGGCCTAAAGAAGATGGATCCATGGTGGTTAAACTTCAGCCAACTAGAGCCAAATTGTTGCACAAGCCCATGTCTTACTAGTGTATCTTTAGATTCTTCGTGATGGGACGAACAGTTTTTTAGCAGTACTTTTGTGCAAACTGAATGGAAGATGACGATAAACAATTTTATATTCTAGGGGGGAAAAGTGTATAGCTAAAAAAAAAAGGAAAAAAAAAACGTGTGTGAAAAAAAGCAAATGTCAGAAGATGAGTATCATCTGGGCATGTACTCCTCAGGTACACCAGACAGGTTTCTCTTTCTGAGTGCCGTGTCCACAGTCTTAATAAGCCCGTCAATGGTGGCACGCATTTCAGGCGTGTAAGGGTCATAATCCAGCTTTCTGAGCCCAGAACGTTTAAAGTTCCCGTCTTTCTGTCCTTCCACACACAGCAGGCGGTCCTCTGACACTTCCAGGCCCAGAAAGATGACCATGCTTTTTAAGTGAGAGAAAAGGTCCCGTTTTAAATCCTCAAAGTGCACTACTTGAACTTTCTTCCCATATTTCAGCCAGTCTAGTGTGTGGGATGCCCACCATGGAGCGTAGTTCTTCACAAACTCTGGCCACTCTGAGAGAGAGAGAGAGAGAGAGCGAGAGAGAGTTTAACTTCTTGAAATATAACTTCTTACAGTAACATGCTGTCCCATGGTGCCTAAGATTTAGTGTATTAGCATCGACAAACACAACTTGATGGTTTTGTGAAGGCTGGGATAGTGGAACGGCATAATCATAGTTCTAATCACTGATAGCACTTTTCTGAAATGACACATTAAGCAAAAGTCTTGGAATACATGGAATTCATGCACTTAATCATTTTCATGTAATAGTCATTTTCTGCTGCTTTTCTGCAGTGGAGAAAAAGAAATAGCTAATGTCTTTTTTCACAGTGATTAACATAATCATAACCATAAAACAGTATAAAGGAAGAAGCAAAAAATGCTGATTTTATTTTTTTGATGCTTCTGCATTTCGGTTAGTGTGACGTATTGTATCAGAAAGGCACGTCAACAAGAACAGGGAAACGCGTTTTTAAAAAAAGACGATAAACACAAAACACTTGTCATTAAAATGTCAGAAACCTAATCAAAAATGAAACAAATACAGAATGACAAAGTCCACATTTCGAAAAAACAAGACACCAAAATGTCACAAGCATCTGCTTCTCTCTGGGAAAAAAAATATTGTAAAGAAGCAGAACAAGCAGCAAATGTTGCTTAAAAATGGACTTTGTTGGGATAGAGGAAACTTTGCACAATCTATTCACTGATTGTACCACTGCTCTCAAACAAATGCAGCATCATTTTTGTAAAATTATTTTAATGCAAGAAAAATGTGTCTTCTTGGTTTAATAGTTATAACTATAATTAACCATTAAAGGGGTGAACTGAGAAATCAAATTTTCCTTGAGCTTTTGACATCTAAGAGGTCATCTTATTATAAGAATATCCTGTAAGTTTCAGAACTGAAAACATCCTTGTTAGTCCAATAAAAGCTTTTATTGACACCAGCCTCAGCAAACGACTCGTTTTTCAAAGTGGGGAACTATGACGTCAAAGAGGATAAAACACCACCCCCACAGACGAGGATAAACGCCTACTTCAACACAGCCGGTTTAGCCCCGCCTACCCATTCGCGCATTAATATAGATGCCTACCTCGTGATGACAAACCGGATCGAGCTACCGAGCAATACAAAATATTGTGCAGTGCCTGGTTGTGGAAGAAGACAGTCACTGAATAAGCTTCCTCTGGATTCCAATAGGACTGCATAGATAAACTTTATTTTTAACGACGTTCCAGTTGATGAGGTAAAACATTGTCCGTCTGTTCGCTTCATTTCACTGAGGATTGTTTTGTAAACAAGACTGGATTTGCAGACGATTAAGAGTAAAGAACGGTGCTGTGCCGTCTATATTGGATCTTTCAGGAATTGTGCAACACACGGACTCTGGGTCGAACATGTATGGGCGAATCATTCCGGTTGCCATTTTACAACATTGGACGTTTCAAAACAGTTTCCCCCAAGTGCATCGACGGGTGAGTTGAAACTCATTATAATATGCAAAACTGTTATCGACTCACAGCAGTGGGCGTTTACTTCCAAGTCTTCAGTGCGAGACGCCCATAAAAACCAAGCGTTTTTCAGCTAGGCTCAAAAGTAGGGTACAAAATAGCCTATTACGTATTCATTTTGATGTTTTTGAATGCAAAAACCAAGCGAACGTCATAAGTTGACCTCAGACAACAATAAAATAACATTTAAAAAGCCAGTTCATGACCCCTTTAAAAAAGTAACATGTATTTGGTGCCTAGTAAAAGACTCATGTACCTAAAAATAAGCATCAGTTTTGTGGAGGTTTCAGAGTTAAAAAGGGAAGACATTCTCAACAAAACCACATTAAACAGAGTCATGGCTGTTTGTGTCTGATGAGTTCATGCTTCTGACCACAACAGCAGATTTACCCTCAAATTGACGTCAACGTCAAGAACAAAGCAGAAGTTCTTTTGATCATTTACCCCAATGATAATTTTCCCAAACTAAACTAAGACACAGATCATTTCTCATGTTCACAAGTTCACACTTACGTATAATAAATACAGTAAAGGTTATAGGAATTTGCCGTGCTGTCTGAGGGGTCTCTAAGCTCGGAATATGCCAATATGCCAAGATTTTAAAATACATATGTTGTGGTCGAAGGATATTGGGTTTTTGATGGCTGATGCCGATATCTTAGAGAGTATGTGGCTGATGGCAGATATAAAGCCAATATATATATATATATATATATTTGGGCTGTGCAAAAATTAATTGCGATTAATCGCATCCAAAATAAAAGTCTGTGCTTACATAATATATTTGTGTGTGCTGTATATAATTATTTTGTATATATAAATACACACACATGCATGTATATATTTAAGAATATGTGTTATTAATATATAAAATATGTATATTTATATAATATAGATTATGTAATTATATATATATATATATATATATATATACAGAATTTAAGTGCAAATAATTCTTAAATATATACATGCATGCATAGGTATTTATACAAAATAACTATATACAGCACACACAAATATATTATGTAAACACAGACTTTTATTTTGGATGCGATTAATCGCAATTAATTTTTGCACAGCCCTAATATATATATATATATATATATACTGTATATTACTTAAACTTTTTTATTTATTTTTTAAATAACTGATTGTTTCGCTATAGATAAGACCCTTATTCATCGTCTGGTGTCGTTTAAAGCCCTTTGAAGCTGCACTAAAACTCTCATTTGGATCTTGAACCGTTTGGTTCCCATTGAAGTCCATTACATGGGGAAAATCCTGGAATGTTTTCATCAAAAACCTTAATTTCTTTTCGACTAAAGAAAGAAAGACATGGACATCTTGGATGACGTGGGTGAGTAAATTATCATCAAAAGTTTTTTTTTTCAAAGTAAACTACTCCTTTAATAACACCAGTTAACATGGTTTTATGTGAGTAGCGCTGTATGTCTTGCACACTAAATAGAGCGATCACAAGCTTTAATTCCTCACCTTTCCCCCTCCAGTGAGCTTGAGAGGCAAATCCAATATGGCCGCCATACTTTCGGTTAAATTCAGCCATGAGCGCTTTATAAGGGTTCCGGATCATAAGGATGCTAGCGTCAAAGGTGTCAATCTCCTTCCTGCCGCTCTCATGGGTCTTGATACATATGGTTCTACCGCTGCGCCAGTGATCTCTCTCCCCTTTGAATCCTGCATATTCAAAGAGTTCAGCAAGAGAGGAAGACCATGAGCAAGCAAGAGAGAAATCAAATGGCTTTATGGAGAACTAAAAGATAAATGAACCTTTGTTGTACAGTGAGCCATCAAAGTAGTAGCTCCCGGTGTAGTGCCCCGTGGCCAGTTCAATAAGGTGACGGGCCCAGGTATTCCCCGCTCCTGGGAAACTAGCTAGTGCTATTAGATGCTTGGAACGAGTGGGTAAAAAGCGCCGGTCCATACAGCGATTATCTGTACAGATAAAGGAGGACACACATCAGACCAAACATGAGATATTTTGGTGAAAAATATCCTTAGTCTCATTAAAGTTTCCTTAAAACTGCTCGACAAGCAAGTATACTAGCATATGTACTTAAAACTAACATGGATTAAAACCACAAAAATGATGGTCTTTAATCACAGAATCATTCTGTAAAAGACAGGTAAAATGTCTCCATCAGGTTTGAGTGGTTTGATAAACAGTGGGAAGGCTTATAATGCACACATTACCATGAACATATGCTGCTATTTTGATGAAGTGGGACAAAAACATTTTGATTCAGTCTTTTCAAATGTTGTCTTGCTTAGTTTTCAATTTCGGGTTTGAACCAGTTCATGATGAGCATTCAGAATTTGAACCACAGATGACAATCAGTCTGAGGAGGAAATGAAATGAGTTTGTACTTTGATTGTTTAGACGGGCCAGATATTATGGGGTGAAAGTTGGGAATGATTAAACCCCATTAATCCCCATAATTTTTTTTTTTTTTTTTTTTTTTAACCTTTATTTATCCAGGTAACATGTTTGAGAACCACTTCTCATTTTCAAACATGACCTGGCCAAGAGGCTACAGGAAAAAATAAGAACATAATGTACAGCTGTACATCGTCAAACACATAACACTTAGAACAAGCAGCTAAATAAAAATAAAAAAGACAACAAAGAGGAAAAAGAAAACGAATAGAGTGCTTAAATAAGTGTGTAAATATGGTTCATGATTGTCAGCAGGAACAAGAGTCAACTATGTAATTTTCGAGGTTTTGCTTAAAGGTGGAGATTGGGATCAGAGATGTAAGTTGTAAATGAAAAAATGAAGGCCCACAATGATTATACTATTTAATTTAGTATTTAATTTAATGTATTTTAAGCCAAATACCTCATACCTCATAATTGGTTTGTGTTGTTTCAACATTATAAATACCATAATATATTATATAATATTTAAAAGTTAGGTTAATACTTTAAATATTTTCATTCTGTAAATATATGAATACAATGCATAGAAAGGGGCCAGTCTATAAATGTCAAAATACACAGTATTAAAAGTATAGCTACAAAATGCAAACATTATGTGTGGTAACATGATTTTAGAGTGATAAAATAGCTTACTAACCTTATCTGTGTAAAGTTATCTAAGTAATATCTTATATTACAAGGACAATATTTGTTGCCATTTTGCCTTAGTGGTTATAAACTTACACAGATAAAGTTTATCAACAGTATGCTCCAAAAGCTTAATTTTTATTGAACCAGGAACTCTTTAAAAATTGGAATTTCTTCCTCCCTTAAAGTGAACCAAGTGTGTGTGTGTCTATGTTTGTTTGCTTTTTTTGGCTGAGTGCATGTTTGAGTTTCGGAAGAAGGCTCTGCTTGCATAGCAGAGCAGTTGCATCATGCAAGTGCGCATTTATTGAAATGATATCATGCATATATATATATATATATAGAGAGAGAGAGAGAGAGAGAGATATCTGCAATCGATTTAATGTCATATTTACATGTGGGATCGTCAACTTTGACCACTCTTGAAAAAAAGCAAACTGTAATAAAGGAGTCACATTTTTTGTGCAAACTGTGACAGCGAACTAAGAGAAAAGGAAGAAGAAGTGTGAATTTTGCAAACGTGAGGGTCGGTTTGTTCACAAGTGATAAGAAGCCTCAAAAGCAGTACAGGAAGGGCAATGTTTGTGTTTCTGTGAACTGACATGTTTGTGCTTGTGCTAAACAGTCAAACCCGTATGGTAATAAAATCCTTGTGTGCTGCCTTTGCGTTAGCCTGAGCCCACTGTTTTAGTGCAAACAAGGTCACGCTACCTTGCACTTGGGTCTGGTACACTACAAAGAAGTCCTTATTTCCGCAGCTCTCAAAGTCTTCCCCAAAACATCGCTGGAGACACAGTTCCTCATCCTCACGCTCATGCAGAGTGAAGAGAGGAGTTGGAAAACCACAGTGACATTGTTCACCACCCAAAGCAGCCAGAGAGAATTCCTATGCCAGGCAAAGGAAGAGATCATTTAACACACTCGCATAAACACTGTAGTATGAGAGACACCAGATGCATATCATGCACGCATACTCACTTTCTCAGTGCACAAGTCAACACACTTGTCCACTGACATGTTCTGAATAACAGCACTAACAGGAAGCGCCAGGGTCACGTTCTCTGGCCTCTTGAAACATCCCTTGAAGATGGCACTTCCATCTTAAGAGCAAAATAAACAAGTGCATGATTTTTTTTAAATGTAAAAACAACAAAAACAATTACATTTTAGTATTTTCTCAAGGAAATATGAGTGTTGCTTGCTCGAGAAAATCTCACTCGCATGGTGCCAGGTTGTCCTAGGTAGTTTCCAGAAGGACACTATGCAGTTGCTATTGAGGTTTTATAGCAGTGTGATACTTTGTAAATACTTTCTGCCAAGACTGCCAGATAGCATCAAACACTACTTAAACTTAGTGCAAAATACTGTTTTGGTATTTAAACAGTGTAAAATACCATCTAACACTACTTAGTCTTTGCCTTTAATAAAACCGCGGTGGTCCCAAGGACTTCTTGACCTAACTGATCAAAGTTGTTCCTGCACAACTATTGCATTTGTTGTTTATCAGACAACCTCTCCCACACATCCTGTCATATGACAAAAGTGCTAAATCAGGACAAACAGGATGGAAAGTCACAAGTTTCTGCCTGATGTGCTTAATGAAACATGACGCATGAAGGATGAAGATCGTGCCATAAAGAACAGGAAATAGATAAGGAATTGTATTCATTGGTTATTTTAAAATCGAATGCCATGAGAAACAATACTGGGAAACGCCTAGTTTTTAAAACTATAATAAACATACATGCAAATGAATGAGAATGGGAAAACTTCGAATAGGCATCCGAGAAATCGAATCTTTCCTCAACCACTGAAGGACAAAGAGTAGAAATCATTAACAAAAACCAGTCCATTCCACTGAGAGATTAATAGTGGGGAGTCATTTGCCCTTTGCTAACCTGCTCTGATTATTAAAGGGGTGGTTGTTTATGATTTAACTTTTTTTTTAACTTTCGTTAATGTGTAATGTTAGTCTGGGTTTCCCCATACTGCCTTGCGCAGCTAATTAAAAATTTGATCTGACGTTTTCGGAGTTGTGAGATCCAGTCTTTCTCAGCTCTCATGTACCCCGCCTGGAACAGCCTTACCGATCGACTAGTGCTTCTGATGTTTGCCGCTGGCTCTGATGTCTCTAGTCTAGTGGTTAAACGTGAGATACAATTCGTCTTGTGTATATCTAACGTGCGATCTTTGGTCTCATTAATCTATCATTTCTTCCCTGGCAAATTATTTTGGCTAAGGGCAAAGTGAAGTTTCATAACTTTATATTTTGGCTATTTTAAAGGGTTAGTGCACCCAGAAATGAAAAATCTGTCAGTATTTACTCACCCTCATGTTGTTCCAAACCTGTAAGACCTTTGTTAATCTTCGGAACACAAATTAAGATATGTTTGATGAAATCTGAGAGCTGGATCACTCCTCCATACTAGTCCATAGGCTTCTTGAGGAATTGAAACTTGCCGGCCTCGAAAAGTTATTAAAGACATCGTTAAAATAGTCCAAGTGACTTCAGTGGCTCAATCTTAACTTTATAAAGCGACGAGAATACTTTTTGTGCGCAAAAACAAACAAAAATAATGACTTTATTTCAACTATTCACTTCCTTCTCTATGGGCCTCTAGTCAGTTAACGTAGTGTGATACCATAGAGCTAGGCTCACTATTGGCCGACGCTGGTCGTGTGTGATGCGCGTGACGTACAATAACAGAAGCTTACACTATAAAACTAGTAACCTGACTCGAGGCAGAGAGAGAAGTAAATGAATAGTTGAAATAAAGTGGTTATTTTTGTAGGCTTTTTTTTCCGCACAAAAAAAAAAAAAAAAGTGGCCTTTTTTTGGGCCACTGAAGTCACTTGGACTATTTTAACGATGTCTTTAATAACTTTTCGAGGCCGGCAAGTTTCAATTCCTCAAGAAGCCTATGGACTAGTGATCCAGCTCTCAGAATTCATCAAACATATCTTAATTTGTGTTGCGAAGATGAACGAAGGTCTTACAGGGTTGGAACAACATGAGGGTGAGTAAATACTGACAGAATTTTCATTTTTGGGTGAACTAACCCTTTAACGTTGTATCCTGCTGTATGTTTGTGTGAATCGTTTACTTTATTTCTTGTATTATATAACTTCTTATACAGTTTAGGGTACTTATACTGTTATAATGTCTATTACTGATAAATAAAGTATTTTGAGCTAAAACTTCACATAAACACTCAAGGGATATCAGCTTGTGGGACTTATTTTACAGCTTGTGAAAAGGGCATTATACCACCCCTTTAAAGCAGCTTGAAGTTTTAACTTTACAATAAGGTTTCATTTGTTAACATTAATTGACTAAATTAGTTGACATTTAGTAACAATGAACGATACTTCTGCAGTATTTATTCACCTTAATATTAATTTCAACACTTACTAATGTTGTTAACATTGGTTATTGCCCCGTGTCCACAACTTGATTTTAAAAATGAATTAGTAAGTGTTGAAATTAATATTAAGGTGAATAAATACTGTAGAAGTATTGTTCATTGTTACTTCATGTCAACTAATTTTGTAAATGAATGTGAACAAATGAAACCTTATTGTAAAGTTTTAGTTGATCTTATCAATAAAAGCAGATAAACTGTGCGTTTCTGCTTTCCTGAGAGTGACAATAAAGTGTCGAGCCAGGCACAGAGCCTGTCTAAATGTGTGAATGTAAACTTGCTGATGCGCATGTGTAAAAGTATCTGTGTTACTTAAGTATGCTCACATCGGCGGGCCGACTCCTGGCTCAGCTCCAGTCTGTATATGGACAGTCGATTAGGTCCTCCACAGAGGTTACTCTTCTCCCCTTTACACTCCATATTGCATTCACTCTCTGACACGTTGGCCGCCTGGATCTTATGGCCACAGTAGCACTCAGCTCCAAACTCCAGACCCGCATAGAGATAACCCCTAATAACACAGGATGAAGGAAAAACATCTTTATTTTGCATTTAGTTGCTATTATGCATTATTGCTGCTACTGCTGCTGTATATTGTTGCGGTTGTTGTAGATTATTGCTGCTGTTGCATATACATACATATATATAGACCATTTTGCAAGATGTAAACAACACTGGTCCAGAAGCACTTTCTGTTTCAGTTTTTTAACACTACATAAAAGTTGGGATAAAATACAACCAACAAAACATATAAAACTGAATCAAAAAGTTAAACAAACATCTTTAAGATGTTTTATTTACATGTGAAATAAAGAAAACAGTTACAAACTGAAACAGGAAGTGTTTCTGGACCAGTGTTGTTTACATCTTGCAAAATGGTCTATATATATATATATATATATATATATATACATACATACACACACATATATATATACATACACACACACACTGTATATATATATATATATATATGTGTGACCCTGGATCACGAAACCATTCACAAGTCACAGGGGTATTTGTGACAATAGCCAACAATACATTATATGGGTCAAAATTATTGATTTCTCTTTTATGCCAAATAGGATTTTAAGTAATGATCATGTTCTGTGAAGATGTTTTCTAAATGTCCTACCATAAATATAGAAACATTCTGTTTAGATTGCGTGAGTGCAGACCTCCGTGGTGATTTATGTAAGAGACTGCTTCTGTGTTGTCCACCCACACTAGGACATGACAGCCTCTCAACAGGAGGAGAAAGATTTTCAAGGCCAGAAATACAGCTATCAACTCAAGGCAGTTGATGTGCCAATCGAGCTGATGACCCTCCCATTCCGCTCCCCAGCCCATCAAGGACGTGTCTGTTGTCTGTTGTTAGCAATCTGCAACAACAAGGCACCCGTAGAGTGGGATCCAAGGCAAGGAACCGGGGTCTGAGCCACATAGATAGTGTATCTTCAAGGTTTAAGCCTTTTTACTGTGTTTGGGGGGCTTTTGTTCGTGAGGCCAGTCAGGCTGTAATCTGGCCACCATGCGAGTACCACCTCGAGTAATTCCTCGAGTAATTCCTAAGCAGCGCAGCATCGATTGTAGCTTTTCAAAGGGAACTAAGCATATTTTTTCTTCCATATTCTGACATATAGGGTAGACTGGGTACAGTTGAGACACTTTTTGCGTTTTGATTTTTCACACAAAAATAGATACTGAAAAGACGTGAATTTCCACATGACATGCCACATGTCATTTCATTAGCTTGAAGACTAAGATATTATCAATCAATATTACTCATAAGTAGTTTATATTTTCCACAATTAGCTAAATAAGGTGCTTTTTGTTTCAACTTTGCCTCAACTGTACCCATATGTGGTACAGTTGAGACAGTACCATGGTACAGTTGAGACACCCATTTTTAATGATGTAAAGGTAACTAATCGTTCATTGAAAATATAATAAATAAAGACATATAAAAAATAACAATTGGGCAACATGTTTGTTTATTCATCCATTCAAATTCATTAATTTTATTTTAATTAGAACTGGTTAAATTTTATAAAACAGAAACAATATATTTTACATGTTAATTAATAATACACAGTTTAATGATCACAAATACCAATTTTTTTTTTCATTTGCGGCTTATGCTGGCTAATTATGACATTTAACCTGTTATCATAACACTGAACAACAAAACAGTGTGTTTCCAGTGTGTTTTCCTAAACTTTATCGGGGGTACAGTTGAGACAGTGTTGTTTCAAATGTACCCCGCTGGCCACCTCACACATTTCTCTAGATATTGCAATGACCATGATGACACATGAAATATGCCTGTTTTTAGGGCACAGAATAACGTTTATGATTATACCAGTTACGTTTAACAGTCACATAAGGATAATAAGCTATTCATTGTGGAGTGTGCATGGTGAAGTGAAGGTCTTACATTAGAAAAAAAAACTTTTGCCAATATCTTTGGATCGGAGATGCGTCCATTGATCAAATTTCCCACGATCAAAGAGGACACTAATACACATGTGCACAGCAAGTTATTTAAGATGTCTCAACTGTACCCGTCCTACCCTATGATGGAAATGTATTATATTTTTTTTAAAAGAAGGAAAAAAGAAAGTAGGACAGGACAGGAACTAATGCATCGGTTGTTTACTGGAATTTGATATGTTGCTGTTGAACTGTTGCCGGGTTTAAATGACTAAACGATCAGAGAAGTTCCGCATATGTCACCAGAGAGAAGTCTGTTGTTTTGACCAGATTAAATATTACATAATATTAACTGAAAAGTTGTAGGTTCAAAAAGGGGTGTTTCATGAACTACAGTATCACATTTGAGCCTTTTAGCAGGAACTTTTCAAGGGAAAATGTAATACGTGCTCCACAGTTTCCTTCATACGGATGAATTCAGTTGTGCACATGGGCGTGCATGTGTAGCTTTTGAAAACAGCAGAAATAATGTGGTCTATTGTTCTGACACTTTGACCAATTCCCAGCCATGTTAACCTCCCTCCCACAGTTTTGCATGAAATGGTTTTGATACAGCGAATGAACTGTGTAGAGAGTATCATTTCCGAGCACTCACGGAAAAAACTGTTTTTTTGTCACTGTTTTTGCCAGGCTGTTGGCTAGCAAAATGGTGTATAGTGGTTCTGGACCTGACTAATACAAGCGACCTTCAGACTGACGGCCAACGTTACATGGCCGTGACGTCTGAGGCTGAGACTAAAACAAGCATAACTACAGTCAGTGTTGTGCCTGAAGGCTATCAATGAACGATAGTTCATGAACTTGTTTATATTTTGGGCGAACGTGAACTGAAAATACTGTATTAGTGCCTGATGAACGTTACTGTGAACTCGTTCATTCTGGTGTCTGTGAACGCACGCTCTCTCAGTTTAACTTCGTTCAATATGGTGCCAGATTTCTATAGAGCCTAGAGATTTCTATTCATGTAGAACTAGTTCATAGTATGAACTATGAACTGAACTAGTATGAACTATGAACTGAACTTTGAAGTTAATGGCTATAAAATGTACTTTCCCTACACTGACTACAGTAGGCTGAGATAAAAAAAAGTAAGCTGAACAGAAGCATTGCTTGTGTGAACATGAAATTCCATGGTTCAAAAGCTCTTTTATTGGAACTATCATTTTAATGTGCTCTCCACCCCTCAAATACTTCCTCAATGCAGTTATTTTTTCAGCTGGGCCCCCAGTTTAAAAGATTCCATTGTCAATGTCAACAGAGCCCTTCCTTTTAAACATGCCCTTATGAAAAAGAAATATAAGAAATATACTTCAAGTTCATTTTATGAAGTATACTTAAGTAATGTTCAAGTATATTTGAAGAGTTCAGATGCAAAAGCCTCTAAGTGCCATTTGAAATTTTCTTCTAACATGATCATTTTTATCAAGCTTGTAAATTTAAGTTCAGTAATTTCACTTAAATGGGAATGAAGATTACCTATTAATTGTCATTTAAGTGAAATTACTGAACTTAAATATACAAGCTTGATAAAAATGGTCATTTTAGAAGAAAATTTCAAATGGCATTTAGAGGCTTTTGCATCTGAACTCTTCATTTTTAAGTATACTTTAAGTAGAAATCCCATTTGTGTCAAAGACTACGCCTTCAAAACACAGATGGAGTAGATCAAGTCCAACACCCCAAAGCCCCAGGTGAAAATAAAGTGTATTTGAGTGCACTAAAAAACCATTTAAATACAAGAAAGTACATTTGTAGTACATTCTTTCTTTTTGTGCTAAAAAAAACTGTAAAAATTATACACTATAAATATACTAATTAAAAGTATATCTCTAGGTGTAATTATGAAATAGTATTAACTACAATTGATATTTAAAATGTATTTTAATGCATAAAAATAGATATACCATTGAAAAAATACAGTTTTTCAAAGAAGAGTTTTATTATTGTATTTATTACAAGAACATTTTAACGCATTAAAAATAGTTCATTGTTAGTGGACTTTTAGATGGCTATCATAAGTTTAAATTAAATTGATTTTACTTAAAATATATTCAAAATGTAATTGTCAAAAAATTACATTTTACAAAATGTGGTATTTAATTACACTTTAAAAAAATAAACTAAATATTACTAATTCATAAATCGATTTTAAGGTATTCAGATAAGTCCACTGCACAATGGTGGACAATTAATATTTAAATTTTAACAGTATAAGTTTAGCATAAATGAGGCAGAAAATGCTACTGATGACAGTAATAGTGTACTTGACTACTTTTTTGACTACTGGGCTATTAGTCGAAGTGCTCCCAAGCACTTGCTGTGGTATTCCGCCATACAATAGTTATCCACTTTACATGCTAAAAAAAACGCAACGTTTTATCAACGTTTACCATCCTAGGTCGAGTTACACTGCCAGAGTAACTGTATTTATAGGGAAAACGTGGAGGTGTTTGGTCGCTTCTCTGCTTGGCCCATATTGAATGAACTGGGCTAGTTAAGTGCTAACAAAGTGTCTCGCGCGCCAGCGATTGAGTACACGCACTGAGACGAGAGAGGTATGCATCAAGTCGTCTCAATTAAGGGAATAACATAGTTTAATATGAAAAAAACGGTGAAATATCCCTTTAAGAAGTACTAAAGAAAAACTTTTAGTATATTAAGTATAAAGTTAGTGTGTGAAAATTGAGCACTTTAAGTACATTGTGGAAGAATACTTTAATAAAATGTATTTTAGTGCACTTTTTAATCTAGGAAAACATTATAAGTATAATTTGTATATATTTATTATATATTTTAAATAATTTATTATTGCATTTAAAATGCATTTAGCGTCAAAATAACACGCACAGAGCTTTGTTCGGTTATGGGTAGATTTAGTTCTGGGGCAGGGTTGGGGTTAATTTGGGTGTAATTTGAAGTATATTTCAAAGAAATACATAAAGTATATTTTTGAGAAGTATATAAAATGTTGACTGAAAGCATGCTTTCTTATTTTTAGTTTAAAAGCTGTATACTAATGGCACACTTGAATAAACTTCTTTTTCGTAAGGACAAAAGTAAACTTTCTCTTGACTCGTGATCAATCAACACTCACTTTTGTCAATGTTAAAGCTTCTCTTGAAATTTTAGAGGAGAAAAAGGAAAAAACTCAGAGGAGAGAAAATAAAGGATCATCTGTCTCCTGTTTCTGGCTCATACGCAAGACCACTATGGCAAGACTGTTGGATGTTGGATCTGAATTGACACTCATTCCTGATGCCAAATTTTCAAAAAAGAAAATATTTTTCCTTTTAGTTTTCTCCCTTTCTCTCTTTCTGTGACTTTGCAAGCCACAGACTGATGTGGTTCAGTGTATTGGTGTTAATGGGTACGCAGTGTTAAGAAACATTGGAAAGCTGGTAGGGTAGAAGAACCGAGGAAAGAGGAAGGAAGCAAGAGTGCTAACAAGATGGAAAGTAAAAAAGGCAACATTACCAGTTCAACCAAAAATGAACTTGAATTTACCCTAATGTTGTTCCAAATCTGTGTCAAAACTGGAGCAATTTTGAATAAATTCTCCCTCTCTACAAAACCTGGATATACTGTATGAGTAAGTCTAATTTTAAAAGTGAGATTTCAAGACTTCATGTAAAAATCATGTAAATTAATACAATATTAAAGTGCTTAGGGCATTTTTAATATAAATATTATTTTTTTCTGCCAGATCTACAATATTTTATGAGGTAGATTGTAAGTAAAGATATTTTAAAAAATCCAGTATAACAAAACGACTGAAAATTTTATGAAATAAATTCATTGGTTAAAAAAAGTGTGGGATCCCTGAAAACATTCGGCTCTCATAAATTATTGAATCTTTCATTATTTTACATGAACTAGGAGTGTCCACAGATTAAAATATGCTTTTAAAGCAAAACTATAGGGCTAGGGGCTTGAGGTCCCCTTGAAAACGAGATGTCACATCTCAAGGGGTTTGCCTCTCAACAATAAATTTACTTTACTTGGGCTTTCGAACATTGTTCTTGGACAACAGGGGTGGGTGACCAATCAATTCATTTAAAAGGTCAGATATATAAGTGAATAATGAATTAAAATTCAACCTGTCCCTTTAATAAAGCTATCATATGGCTACTGAAAAACTGGGAAAAAAGTGCATGAGTCGTACTGAGCACATTTACTCTCATGCTTTTTTTCTTTCTTTTTGAATCACTGTTGATTGAAAAGAGCGATCGGCACAGTTCTTCAGTATTTCCCCTTTTGTGTTCCAAAGAAAAATAATAATAATTCAGGTTTGTAAAGACATCTGTATAGCCTAAGTGAGTGATGCCTATTTTGGGTGATGAATTCATAATTACTATTAATTACTGGTGAGTACATATCTTGAACATGAATGAGAGTGCATGTTAAAGCACAAATCTTTGTGACCATCAGAGGATCATCAGAGGAAACAGCACATCTGATAACTCCCTCCCCTATCTGAGTTAATTATAGGTAAGGGAAACAAGATAACTCAAGGAATTAGATTAGTGTGCATGTAATTAGATGTAATGTTTATGTATGTGTTCTTAATAACATGCATGTTTGTTTTTGTGGGTTTTTGGGGAGTGTACTGTGTAGGTGTGGAAATTGTATCTTAAAAGAATAATAAAACTTGAAATCACTTGCATTATGGGAGACAGATATCATGCTAATCAAGAAAACTGCTTCATAAACATACCATATAATGTATTAAAGGAGTAGTTCACTTTTAAAAAAAATGTAAAAAAAAAAAAAAAAGTTTTAAAAAAAATCTTTTGCTGATAATTTACTCACCCCCACGTCATCCAAGATGTCCATGTCTTTCTTTCTTTAGTTGAAAAGAAATTAAGGTTTTTGATGAAAACATTCCAGGATTTTCTCCATATAATGGACTACATTGTGAACCAAACGGTTCAAGATCCAAATGAGACTTTCAGTGCAGCTTCAAAGGGCTTTAAACGACACCAGACGATGAATAAGGGTCTTATCTCGAAAAAAGAGTTGTTCTTTTTGATGGACGAGTTTGAACAGGAGAGTCACGAACGCTCATCACAGAACAGAGCAAGGCGACCATTTAAACTTTTTTATTTATTTTTTAAATGACTGATCGTTTTGCTAGATTAGACCCGTATTCATCGTCTGGTGTTCTTTAAAGCCCTTTGAAGCTGCACTGAAACTCTCATTTGGATCTTTAACCGTTTGGTTCCCATTGAAGTCCATTATATGGAGAAAATCCTGGAATGTTTTCATCAAAAACCTTAATTTCTTTTCGACTGAAGAAAGAAAGACATGGACATCTTGGATGACATGGGGGTGAGTGAATTATCAGCAAAAGTTTTTTTTTTTTTTTAAAGTGAACTACTCCTTTAATGAAAGGATTCTGTCATGGTATTTTGAGGTTTCAGCACAGAAAATGTAATTACCCGAGTATAAACTAAAGAAGTCAAAAGAAATGTGTCTTGTGATGCAAATGTGAGCATACTCATGTACATGGAGATAAAAAGTTTCAGTCGACATACTGTACCTCTCAGCGCAGTTGTCCTGGCAACGGAAGACGGTCATTTTTTTGTAGTCAAAAAAGGACACCCCTCTAAGAGCCCGTTTCTGTGTGTCATCAACATAGCAGCCGGTGTACTTTGCTGAAGAGAAATATATTGAAAACATCATTAATTCCAGTACCAAGAAATAAAAAAATTGAATCTTCTTGATCAGTAAATACTCAAGAAACATTCAAGGTTGTAAAGCACATTTTCATAATCACTAAAGTTGAAACTCAGCACCATCTAGTGGCCAAATCGTGAAATCATAGCCATATGACTGTTTTGGGAATAGAGAATTTTGAATATTAATTCAAGGCATTTTCATACATGCTGAAATCGTATTACAACATTTTTATAAATGAGAATGATGTTGGATATGTTTCTTAATATAAACTTTAGTAGGCCTATTATTTAAGATTTTGTGTTTTTTAAGTTATTAAATGGTTTATTATTCACACTAGTTAACACTTGCATAATATGCAAGTCTGTAATAATTAAATAGCTTTCATTCGTGTGTACTGAAAACTGAGGGAAGAGTCAAAGGGGGATAATCAACTTTCTTTTAGAGCTTAATTTGCTTAAAATATTAAATTAAAAATCCTTTGAAAATGGAATGATTTTTCATTTTAACAAGTCCTAACAGTCTGCCATCACATATTGTTATTAGCAACCATATAGAGAATGCTATTCCATATATTACACAACATTAAAACACATCTACAGTTTGGAAATGGTCACATTGTTGTGGAAATTTTTGTTCTGAAAACATTTACAGTCCGATGCACAGATGCATCATCTGCTCCATCAATCTCATCATTTGTGACACACACACACACACAAATGACCCAAAATGCCCTGTTGCATGGCATCCGTTCTTTCTCTGTAATCTCATCTCTCCCCATTAGGACTGAATGTATTTTCTAATAGCAGAGATGAGCTGGCGAAGGGAGGGTTTGGACATATACACATATGAACCAGTACAACATTATAGTAATTGCAATTGTCTAAAAAGCAGCGAGCGTGATGGTGAGTTAATCGTATTGGCAGGCACAGAGGGCAAGCTCACTAATCTGCTTTATCTACAAGTCAAGCTCCATTCACTCAACACTGTATTGCCATTCTGTGAAGCAACTAAGTGCTTGGATGAAACTCTCACTATGGCAGCACGACTACAGAGTTAATGATGCTCGCTGTACTCACATGATGAGCTCTCTGCATGAACCGTTTGCTCTGGATATTTGAAGAATAATGAGGAGGGGAACAGGGAGTTATAAAAGTTTCACTTCAATATATTAGAAGAATAAACCTCAATATCATAGCCTATCAAATTAAAATCAAATTTTCTGTTTTTACACTTTTAAACTCTTGCTTCTATATTTTTTGTTTTCTTAACCGACAGGTTAAAGCTTTGTAACTATTAAAGAAAAGAAAAAAAAGAAGAAAAAAACGCTAATATTTTTATTTAATGTAGAAAGGATATGCCTTTTTTTTGCTTTTGCATCTTTTGTATTTGACTATTGTATTAATAATATCTAATTTATTTGATATTATTAACATTTAACTTTTTTTTGTACAGCTTTGAGCTACTAAGTGTTCTTTGAATTTACATTATTATTATTATTATTATTAATTGAGTTAATTAGTTAAGCACTGTCAAAATATATATTGGATTAAAAGTTTGCTCTAGTCTCCTAATATTATTATGAAAGCTTATTTCAGTCACAAACAGTGTAAAAGTGTCCTGAAGGAGGCAGAGTAGAGACAGGGACCACACATGGAAGAGTAAAATGAAACATGACACCAAAATTGCCCTCCTTCACTTTAATAATACATGTCTCTCTTCACAATGATTCAACAGTGAATGTGAATAAAAAAATCTAAATATAATGACTACATTTCATAAATATATTATATGAATATTGACCAAATATAACTTCCTCTAGTTACTTTAAATCAATTTCACCCAAAATTAAAATGGGTTGTAAAAGTTAACTTCCACATGAGTTACAATAAGTATTTGTATTAAAAACCGGAAACTTCACACTTCCTTTCCATTTATTCTTCTCTTTTTTTGTGTGGAAATTTTTTTTTGAAATGATGCAATTGTCTGACATAGGTCAGACATACTAACTGAGCCAGTGAGCCAAAAGACAGTGACAGTCGTGCATTTCCAACTCTGTTACGTACTGCCACACCATCTGGTGCCGATATCACAGACATCGTAGACTACAGTGAGGGATGTTGGGGGCCTGAGCTCATGTTTCTGTCCTTGACATCCTTTGAGATTCATTAATTGGATGTGTGCCTTTACAACCATGAAGATACAATCTCCATAATTACAATACAGTGGCTTTCTCCTTATCAGAGAGGTTGATTGCTAAAGTCATGCAACATATGACTGTCAAAAGTGACACATGCAGTGTTTTATTAGAGGGTTACACTTTTTACAAGAGCCCACTTGACAACCATCTGTTCAAACCTCACTATGGATAAAGGTGATGACCCGAGACTCACATAATCCACTAATTGGCTTTCCTTTGGCTTTTTGTGGGGTTTTGTGTGAACTAGTGAGTTCGCACAGGGTACTGTGGTGGGACTTTTCTGAATGTAGTCCATATTTCAAAGAGAATATGGTTTCATTTGAAAGGGGCCCATTCTGTTTCTTGGTGTAATGTTCACCATGATTTAAGTAACTTACTAATCGTGACTAAAGTCTTTCAGATTTTACTTTGGACTGCACAGCACACCATGAACTATAACTATAACATTTTAATTTTCAAAATAATGGCAGTTTTCATAAATGATTGTGTGTGGACACTAATATACACTTTTTTTTATAAAAAGAAATTTATACTTATATTCAGCAAGGATTGTTTCCAAAATATGCTGGGTTTTCTTCTATTCATCAAAGAATATTGAAATAAAATCATGGTTTCCACACAAATAATAACACAAATGTTTTACAACAATGATAATAAGAAATGTTTCTTAAGCACCAAATTAGCAATTATTATAATGATTTCTGAAGGAGCATGCGTCACTGAAAGCTTAAGTAATCGCTGCTGAAAATTCAGCTTTGCAGGAATAAATTACATTTTAAAATATACTAAAATAGAAAAATAGTTATTTAAATTTGTAATAATTAGGGCCGTCAAACGATTAATCGCAATTAATCGCATCCAAAATAAAAGTTTGTGTTTACATTATATACATGGGTGCACTGTGTATAATTATTTTCTATAGATATAAATACACACATGCATGTATATTTAAGAAAAACATATATTTATATTTGTATATAATATAAATTGTATATAAATCTATATACAGTATATACATGAAAATATTTCTTAAATATACACAAGCATGTGTGTGTATTTATATATATAAAATAATTATACACAGTGCACCCAAATATATAATGTAAACACAAACTTTTATTTTGGATGCGATTAATCGTTTGAGAGCCCTAGTAATAATATTTCCCAATATTATTGTTTTTACTGTTTTTATATTGTATTTTAATGCAGCCTTCCTTAGTGAAAAATAAATAGGCTACAATGTATTTGAAATACATTTATTTTATACTAAAAATACATTTACATACTATTACCCCTGCAATTGCACTTTTAGTGCACTAAATTGATATACTTATAGTCTAATAAATTGGAACAACTAATTTTGCACTTCATGCACTTATTCAAAATAAATGCTGAGGACCAACTAAAGATATACTCAAGTGTATTTGATTGTGCTGAAATGGAACTACAGCAAGTATACTTCAGGTACACTTTAAATATCTTGTATTTAAAGACTGATATATACAGAGATCATACTACGCTTACTAATGGTGATATTAAAACACTTAGGCTTAATATTAATAAATATGCATTGTGCAGTAAAGAAATGCTTCAAATAAAGTTGAATCATAATATTTATATCAGTAATTCTCAAGCATATGTCAGTAAATATGTTAATGGATTTGTAGTACACTTATGAAATACATGTGTTTAAAATACATTTTGGTATAGATTTTTTTTTCACTAAGGTTAGTCAGGCTTCTTTCAAAAGCATTTTAAAAAATGTTTTACCAACCCCAAACTTTAGAATAGTACAGGTTGTCATAATAGTTATTGTTACGTTATAGTTTTCGTTAACGGACATATAGGAATGATAATATCAAATGTTGATTTAAAAGTGATACTTGGAGTCTGTTAGCAAAAAACATAGCATTGTATACACAGCTGGCATGTTTCAGCTTTCTACGTCTAAGACCTTCAGCAAACACCATCAAACACACTTTCCTACTAAACCATGATGGAGGTCACATCATGTATATTTAATGATATCACCTAAAAGAAGAAGCTTTTAGTTCAAAGAATGATTCTCATTTGCACATGGCTAACCCATAAATGTGAATATTGTTAAACTTATTTAGGATAACCAAAAATCCTTTCATTGGAATCACTCAAATTGGGTTTTATTAAATGTATCAATGACATTTTTTGTCTTCATTATAAAAACATGCTTCTGCTTTTTCCATTAAAAAACAGATTTTAAGACTCGTGCCTACTGTTCAGCAAAAAAAATATTTTTAGGAGAGATGAAGCATCTGCCAAAGGCTATGAACTAACAACAGTTCTCAAATGTGTTACTCTAGCGTTAGAAGAAGAAACACACACACACGCATTCATTATTTACTTCAACAGTCACCAAAACGGCCAGCTTAGCATTTTAAGGCGGTTTACCATACTCCACTGAGCTTCAACCATGGCCTTCATTCCATGACTGTCTGTGACAACAACTGACCAATGACACGCATCTTGAAGGGCCAATCAGCTCGTTCTAATCAATAGCTGCGTTCTGCTTCACAGGGCACACAGTGTTCACTACACCCCGAGCACTTCTGAAATGCTAATCTGAAACGCCATATAGCGCTTGAGTCATAAAGATTAGCATGATGATATAATATATGCAAGTAAATAATTATAAATCATAATTAATCTTTTATATACGTGTATATGCGTGTGTTCTTCATGAAGTTTGACAAAAATAAATAGGATTTTTTTCCAGCTAAATTCACCTCAGGTATGCTTTCAGTTTCTATGCTTCTGTTTGCAGTTATAAAGCACAATGTGATTAATTAAATGTAGCCTACTAAATATATAATAAATGATTTCTTATTAAATCGTATTATTATTTTCTGAGGTGGTGTGCAATAATTGATGGGTAAATTTCACCATTTTGATGAAATTCATCAAATCCGCCATCAAATTGATACCGTAAGTTTAATTATATCAAGTGCTGTGAGAAAAGGCTATAAATCTCTACCTCCAACATCCTCACACTCAATATAGTCAACTAACCGAGACTCTTCTTTATGTGTACAGATGTGTCTGTACAGATGTGATGTAATGATTCAATTATCATATAGTCAACTAACCGAGACTCTTTTTTATGTGTACAGATGTGTGTTTACAGATGTGACGTAATGACTCATATAGTCCACAATATGCTCGAATCTCCCGAAAACATTTTTAACCCCAAAAAAGCTGATTTGAAGCAGCTTTAAGACAATCAATTAAGACTCTTTCTCCACTGAGAGTGTCTGAGGTTCCTATCATTGCAAGGAGAACTGTGGTTTGTGGTTTGCATCATGACAGAAGTGCAACATTAATCACTTTCTTTTTACACACACAACCACATGTGTCATGTCTGTGTGAGAAAGTGTGGTATTCTGTTAAATGAGCCAATCCTGTGTATGAAAAGACCAGCATTGACAGCAGTGTGGAAAATGCTTAAGCAGAATTACATCCATGGTCAGTCAGCTTTACCAGAGAGACTGCACTTATAAATTAGCTTCACTCACTTTGGCAGGTGAGTGTCTTGGCTATGGTGGTGCAAAAAAAAAAAAAAAAAAAAAAAAAAATTGGTTGGGTAAACTGCTTTGGTAAAGTCTAAAACAAAGACTTAATTTTTCTTCTCAAATAAATGTATCTTGTTTAAAAGGGGTCATGACATGTATTGTGAAGCTTTGGGGGTGTTGGTGTTACTCCATGTGTGTTTTGATCATCGTTCTGAATCTGATCAAGGCGTAGTCTTTTGACACAAATGAGCTTTTCTCAACTTTTTGTGTTTAAAATGTTGGCTTTCTTTATGAAACTTACCAACATTCAAGTGTTGTTCTAATTAAAAGGTACAATGTGTAGGATTTTTGCAGTAAAATATCCAAAAACCACAAGGCTAATGTTATATATTTTACGAGGATAATTGTCAGAGGTATTTGTACACCACTGAGGACATATTTATGAATAAAAATATTTATTTTAGATAACAAATTACATAAAAAGTCCCTTTAAGGCTTGTCAGTAAACGGCCATTGTTATTTTGTTATGATTGGTTAACATCATTGCGTAGGAAACGGCATCAACGCCCACTCAATATTGAATGCGTAAGTATTTTAAAAACATTATCCATATAATAATAATAATAATAATAATAATCGTCTTTATTCAGGACACATACACAAGATGGTCCATAGCCCTATACATATACCATAATATTACAAAGTACATTAAAAAGAAAAGGAATATAAAACCTTAATTACAGAAAATGCACTATGAAATAATTTATTTATGGTTTGTGATACAGTTGCAGTCAGATCCAATACAGCTGACTGCTTTATCCTTCAACAAATGTTTATTTCCAAACTGTTTCAAGTGACTGAATGCCAGTGGGCGGAGCCTATAGTGTGACGATATATACCTATTCATCAATGTCATGCTCTGGGGCAGTCAAATACAAATGCATTTAACCCGTGTTTAACCCGTGTTTTTAGGATGTTATAAGCTATGAAACTAGCAGGATTTTTTAATGGAACAAAGACCTTTCATATTAGGTAAAGATTAAGGCAAATTTGATTTCTCATGTCATGACCACTTTAAAGGGATACTCCACTTTTTTTGGAAATAGGCTCATTTTACAACTCCCCCAGAGTTAAACAGTTGGGTTTTACCGTTTTCGAATCTATTCAGCCGATTTTCTGATATTTAGAAGAATATCAGTAACCAGACAGTTTCTGGTCTCATTGACTTCCATAGTAGGAAAAAAATATACTATGGAAGTCAATGAGACCAGAAACTGTGTGGTTACTGATATTCTTCTAAAAAAAATCATAAAATCAGGCTATTAAAGACGTTGAATTATTTTTTACTGAAAACAAGACAAAGATACTGATAGTGAAAATTATTTTTTTTGTAGTGTAGAATTAACCAGGTTGGACTAGAATGGAAATACATTGGTACTGGTTTGTCCAAAAGTCTTTCTATACATTGTTCTCTAAGTTTTCAGGTCATTATCAGGTCATTATCTACCACAATAACCGGTCAGGATGGTCTGTCTATTTCAGAAGTTAAACAGATGTTACATTTTTGGTGCCATGGTGAGGGAAATGTTCCTACCTCTCCCATCATCCATCTCTTTGGTGGTTCTTCCTTTGGCTCCATGGCTCCAACTGCTGGTGTGATCGACTCCTCTTCTGGCCCACTCCGGTGCATCCTGTGCTCTATTTTCCTTCATCCATGGTGGTCCAAATCTCCGGGGGGCTCTCCGTGTCTCCTTAAACACCCTCCCCAGGAGCACCAGACCATCAGAGGTAGAGCTCCCACCACCTGTGCCGCCCCCACCTTCGGATATAAGTGGGTCACGTCCGCTTCCAGAGGCGCTAGTGGTGGAAGTATCGCTGGAGAAGCCGGAGTGGAGAAAAACAAGGCTGCCAGCGGTGAGGTAGAGGAGGATGAAGGTGAAAAAGCGTACCGGTTTACGCCGGAAATAGCGGTGGATCTTCAGCAGCGTTTTGGCCATGATGGGCTCTCGAGCCACACGCATTGGCCTTTAATGTTGCACAGAAACATATAAAATCAGAGACAGCACCTTCCTAAAACGTCCATTGTACCGCGAGTACCTTTGAACCACTAAAACGATTACCTAACTAGGAAACAGTCGTTGTAAAGGTGAAGGTACTGATGATTAACACAGTTTGTCCATCTGCTACGGACCCGAAAACACTTCCCCAGCTTTCCTCTGCGGCAGTATCCAGGAACGCTGTGTGTCCGGTGTCTTTCTATGTCCTCGAAGACACAGCGATAGAGGAGACCGGTGCCACAGCAGGGGCCATGTTGTGAAAGACGAGTGGCAGTGAAGACTGAAAGATGATATTGCTGGGGGGACGCTTTCACTCCTGTTATCGGACTCTCGCTCTCCAGAGGCCTTGTTTCTCACCGAGCTGTCCGTCAATCAAAAGCAGCGCTGATTCATTCCTGACTCAGTCCTCACTCACAGACTGAAAAACATAACATGACAGTTAATGGAAACCAAGTAATTACTGATGAGGTCTCTGAGCAAAGAAAAGCACTATATCTGAAAGCGATTAAGGGCATAGAGTTGGAATTCAATAACACCATGCAGCAGATTGATGAACACCCAAACCATCAAACACAGAAGCGAGACACTTTTAAGTGGCCGGCTCTGGAGTGAGCAGAAATGTGCCAATAAGAGCCTGTACACATTTACGCAACAGCTACACTGAAAAAGACAGAGGCTGGTCATGTCTTAATTATGTCCAAAAGCTGTGTTGGCTTGAGGATGTTTGTCTTTTTCCAGACATTTCCAGACGATAAGGCTAATATTTATTATAAAAACGTTCATCTTGTGATTTGATCTTTAAGACATTAAAAGATTCATTTAAAATGTATTTGTTCTTCTGTTTATCTCATATTTTCTTGAAACAAATCTACATCAACATCACATCACTCAGGGATACACAGTGCCAAAAACTCATTCATTTGCTTCACAGAATGATGTCATAATCTTATTTTTCGTGTAGCTTTGCGAACACTGCAATTTTCCTAAATATTTTTCTAATTTTCCAGTAAAATATCAAAACATCCTTAAAATAAGATTAATTCGCCTGAGAAAAAAATGCAAATGATGCGTATTCAGATCGTAATAATATATATCAAGTCTATTTTTTTAAGCATAAATCTCACAAAAACTGTTAAGACTTCCTGTGTCCATTTGTGAATTTTATAAAATATCTACAGTATCTTGTTTAAATCCATTTGAAAAATATTTGTACCAGAAATCTGAATGCAGTCAAAAACACTGAGGAAACTGGTAACTAAAAGTCTTATTATCTGACACATTTTTTTTCTTCATTGGTAAAGTAAGTAGTTTATTTTTTTTGGAAGTAGTCCATTTCAGTTTTCTCAAAGACTCCAGTGTCCACAGTGGGGGAAAAAAACATTCAGGCAGAGTGTTTAAACAAGCAGTCATAATCAGCCTTATTCTGAGGGTAACGGAAATTTCCGTAGCTAACATCTCACTACAGACTACGTGAATGTGCATGTGAGAGTGTGTGTGTGTTTGGGCTCACAATGACCCAATGTCACCGTTACCTGACCCTTGGGCTCCCACCTGCTGCAGTCAGAGCGGAGTCATGCTGATGTTATCGTGACAACATTCTAAACCAGCAGCACACAGACTTCATTCAGTGTAGATATAGCTCAGTTCCTACAGAGAGGGGAGGGAAAGAGAGGGAAAATTCATTTAAATTCATGCTGCACACCAGGGTGTCAAGGATTTCACTTAGTGTAAGCTATTTTTTTATTATTATTTGCCTTAAGCACATGTTTTTAACTTTGTAGATCCAGGCATGCGTGTGTGTGTGTGTGTTTCTTGTGGTAAAACTCATTGCTGCATGGAGACATTGTGTTTGTTAGTGTAACATAGTAATGAGTGCAGATCAATTAAAATAAAGACACTAATATTAAACTATTAAATCTACAATCAAAAGCATTGAGGCCCCAGATATACTGTAAAGTACACTGCCCCACAAAAGTCACAGTTAAGTGTATGAATGTTATTGCATTCAGTATCAAAATCTCAAAACAAATGCCATTTATTTTAAAGCGAGGTACTGTAATTAAAAGCAGGCACACTTTTCAAGCAAATGATTTCACAAAAAATAAATGTGTTAGGTTTTATTGTAAATTACAAAACAGATACACTAATATAAAAAACAAAGACAAAAATATTTAAACATAAATGGAGCGGGTGTGGTGCGGGTAAAGATAAGGCTGAGGCAAAAAGCTCCAAATCAAAGATTTAGGCCACGTTTACAGAAAGCCGGGTGTTTAGCGAAACAAATATTTTAAATATAACATCATGCACACACCTGCATAAATACGCCGTCGAGCGCCATCATAACTATGCCAAACCTATTGGCGGCAGTGTAGGGAGAAGGATAAAGCCATGCAAGCCAATAAGAATTCTCAGAATCGACAAGAGAGAACCTAAATCTCCACTTTGGCCGGAGTTTTTAGAAATAATCGTTTTCTGTGATAAAAACGGGGTTTTCGTGTAAACGAGAGGCCAAACTGCAGGGGAAATATCTGCGTTTTCCCTTCGTGTAAACGGGGCCTAACTTTTACAAACAAAGAACTGAAACAGGTCAAGGCAGGTAAACGGGAAGACGATCAGCAAAACACATCGTAACATATGTACATCAATCAACAAACACATACTGAACAGAAGCAAACCAGAGCCCGTCTAACGGAGAGCCTTGGCACTTCCTATTAGCCCTATAGTGTATCATTTTGGTTGCAGTTCCATTAGAATTCCACTGGAGGTGATCGCGGGCGAGTGCAGAATGAATGGGAGTCTATGGGGCTAAACGGCTAAATGTGTCTCTTTCACCTGCTATTCGTTAAATCAGCATAGATTTTATTGTTGATTCCGCAAGTTCAATATAGATTATAGGCCAAAAGTCGAATGAACGAGTACTTATGTCCTTTCGATGTCTTACAGGTTAGGCCGTTGTTGGCCGGAACACGCTAGCATTCTGCTATTGTGTGACGTCATCACATTTTTGAACGGATTTTTAGAACAGATAAGTGAACTTAAAAATGCAATTTTCAGCTGAGTGTATTATCTTAGCCCTCCCTTTTGAATGCAACTGTCAAATTACTTGACAAAAAATTACATCCTGAGAAAAGTGGATTTCTGGGGGTGAAACCCCATTGACTCCCATTCATTCTGCACTCGACCGCGAGCGCCCCCGCATGGATAGAGACGTGTTACTGCAGCCAGCCCAGAAACCGGAAGTAACCAGCCAGTGCCAGTTCTCTTCAATAGGCTTTATGCCGTGCGTCACGTGACCAAACCGGAAAACGGGTCTCATCGCATCCGCTTGTCAGAGAAAGTGTTAACGGCCGTAAGAACTGACTACGATATCTATGGATATTTAAGGTAATCAGCTAACTTACCTAGTTCACTTTGTTATTGGCGTTTTATTACATTTAAATATCTAAACGTTACTGTGAAGAATAAAAAATATAAAACGTTTAAATATCAATCTGCACATGTGAGGGATATTGGTTATGCTATTCTTTGTTCGCTCCTTTTAAGTTATCTTGAGTAAAACCGCAAAAAATTTCATGAAGCACATACAAAAGACCTGGACCAGAAACGATGCGACCTGTTTTACAGAGAATGCGGAAGTAAGTTGTGCATAAAGCCTATTAGACATTCTCTGAGCAAACTAAATACAGACACTAACGAACCAAACCAGGTGATACAGAAGAAGGTGATCAACAAGACACAGGTGATGAAGATAAACTGATGATGGTCGACATGGAAATCGATGAGCGGTGGGAAAACAGAACAGGACTAAACCAAAATACTAGAAAACGGGGAAACAAAGAGTCAAACTGTTTCACAGTGGTAATTCTTAACACTGATATCTTCACACAGCGTTATTCACTCGGAGGACGTTCTCAGGGTAGCAGGATATTTAAAAATAGACAAAAGTGGTTTGACCAGATTGGCATTCTTTGATGGATGTTTTTCACATTCACACCAAATAAGTTGAAAAAGGTTCAGTAGGAGAGACTCATGGGCCAACCATGTCAGAATTAATCTTGGCTGCTTGAGTTAAGGGCCATGACCTCAGGTTACAGTCCACAGGCTTTTCCATAAATACCCACTCCATTACTGCTAGAGGAGGCAAGCCACTGCGCATCAGCACACAGAGCGCCACAGTGCCATTACAGGCCCTTTCCTGCACATGCCCAACTGTAAATAAAAAATACCACAGCTCCTGTGGGACCACCCACGCTGTCACCATTGCATTCAGACTGTAAACCTTGGCAATATATCATTTGTCCAGTACATCTTATCAAATCAACACTCTAGATGAGACTTTTGCAAAGCACCACTCACATTCACCAGAAAACATCGACATTTAGTTTTATGCTATTGCTGTCATAAATCATTAAATTAATTTTATTCATTTTAAAATCATTGTATTTTCGGGTACAGGAAATTGTCTTGCCGAAATAACAATCATGACTTACAACAGAAGCTGATTCTTCTGACTGACAGAAGGAAAATTTATTTGTTTAGGATTTATTTTGTAGTAGAGATTACCATTATTCTGAGCACACATGAAACTATCTTTAGTTGAGTAAAAAGCATTCCCCAATCCCTGCCAAAAGTTCAGAGCGGGACCTCATGTAGTGTGTTAAAAATGACAGCATCAGCATTTCCCCATTTAAGGGCCATGACCCCAGAACCACAGGGGCCGTTCTCTCTGTCTCTCCCTCACTCTGCCTCCTCATGTCTTCTTTGTTCAGCAGCGACGGCTTTCACTTCAGATTAAAGGCTGAATTCCACAGCTACCGTAATGATGTTTACATTAGAATCTACAGGCCACAAGATCTTGCCATGGACCAGCATTTTTTAAACTTTGACATTGACAAGCACTTACATTTGCAATGAATGCCAAAGTGATCTACTAAATATTGACTTTGTGTATTTAGACTCTGGTTTACTGTCACATTTCAACATACCAGACCATATTTTACTTACTATATGTCATTTTATTTGATATACCACAAATGCGCCATGCCTTCGCCTACACAGGTGAAATTGTCAGCTCATCAGCACAATGAGTGTTTATATAAGCATGTATTTTGTGCACAGAATAAAAACATCCAAACATTTCTTATGTTCTAGATATTGGCTTAAGGAGTTTACTTTATGCATATGTTCAACAATTAAAAGTTTAAAATGTATATTTTACCAATAGGACAAATAACTAAAACTAGGGCAAACTGCTTTTTCTCGAAGATATTCATCAGATATTTTCTCCATACTGTGGCCTTAAGTTACAGAAAACAGTGCACAGAAAATTCGTACGAGCAAAATACGCCACATATAAACATTCAGACAATAGCGTGCAAGATGGCTTCCCTGGTTACTCTTAATTAATTAACTAATTATACATTAAAAATACATTTACTTTAATAGAAAGTACTTCTTTACTTTGTTAGGAACATATATCCCAACCTACACCCATGAACTGCACTTGACATCATATCTCTTGACTGGATAAGTTACATGGCTAAAGCCTGTTTTAGGCACACAAAAGCTGCTTCACCCTGCTGTTTTCATGCCAGTCATTTTAATTAGAGGGATGTCTGATCTCTTAGCATGTGTCTGTTACATGGCTCTATGCCCAACTGCAATTAATTACTGGTGTGCCTGCTCAAACGACCTGGCAGCCACATAACAATTTCTCAGAGAGAATCTGCAGGGATTTCCTCTCCTCCATTTGATCCTGCTACTAGGGTTTACACACCACTTAAGGACATTTTCCTTGATGTAGCAGGTGAGAGAAGTGGGCTATCTGAGCGCTCAAGACAACCTCTTTGAGATATTGACAAGTGTGTCTTTTCCCAATACCGTAAATGAACTGCTTGTGTGCACTTGAGTTCAGAAAATGGTTTAATACTCTGATGTCAGACTTGGTTTCCAACAAGCAATTTTGCATTTAAAAGACGTCTAATAGCCGTCCAAACACAGCCCAGATGTCTAGGCTATAACAAGGCAAAATTTGTGCAGTCAGTGAAAATTTAATAGATGTCTAACCATAGCTCAAGAATAGACACACAGGCTATGCATCAAAGAAATGAAACCAAACACCTTATAATCACTGTTGACTTTGCTTACATTATGGAATATCATTCATCTCACATTTTATTTTTGGCAAAAATGACATGTATCCAAATTCAAGGTCATTTTTAGAAGTGGGTTACTAATAGCCGGACAATATCGGGTCTATAGTTAAAGGTGCAGTCTGTAAGAATGACAGCTAGTGGCCAAAATCGGTACAGCAGTACAAATTCAAAATATTGGAGATCGTTGCTTTCCCGCCCCCTCCTCTTCAGAGTCGACGCTCAAGCGGGTTGCCAGTTTAAGGACACCCAACAGGAACAAGCACAATTGACAATGAAAGCTGAGGAGACTAACACACTGTAAGTTGATTAGTTGATTTATTTGTGTGCTCTCATTCATAGAGATTTTTTGATGGACACTGAGGCTTTTAAGGTTTGATAGAATCTGCAATCTCTGACCCAGTTTGTTTGCTGGCTGCAATAATCTGTTTCCTGCCAACTGGCATCGAAATACTATAGGGTGAACTGGCAGTGGGTGAGATCCCACAGACAAAA